TTAGGGCTTAGGCCGGACTTAGGTTCCCATATTCCTAGGTTACTGTTGGGTTTAGGAGAGCTCCTCAAAGCAACCTCATCGCATGGGGAGATAGCATTCAAAGCAATAGGGAATGACTGGCACACAATGGCAGGGCAAGAAAGATGCATTCTGATGCCACGACCTACTCTAAGCCCTAAACCCGAAACCCTACACCCTAAACCAAAAAGCCATCTTGACTGCCGCCTGTGTCCAAAGGTGCACAAGGTGCTTGGTTTCACGGTCCTCTCCCTGTACCTCTACCGGATCTTCGTTTGGATCTGTTTTCGCCTCAGGCAAGGGTCATTTAGGGTTCAGGGTTTCGGGTTTAGGGTTTAGGGTTTAGGGTTGGGATGCAATTACCCCCGAATGTAATCCCTATTAAGGACTGTTAGTTTAAGGGGGAACATCCCAAGTTTAAAGCCTGAAACCACTTTTGGCAGAGCTCCGCGGTGTCTCGTGCTTGCGACCATGCTCGGCTGCTGAGCCCCTAGCTGCCCGAATGCTCTCCCCCAAGGTGTTCGTGCACGCCTGAGTTCCCTGTATGTACGCGGTAATCCTTCTTGCATATTGGCTGCTTTGGAACACGAGAGGAAATCAAACAAGACAGGTGAGACATCGAACAAGCTCAAAATACCGACAAAGTGCACCTTCACACTCCTCCAGTAGCAGGGTTTTGAGTAGCTTTCGGGACTGAGGGCTGTGGCGTTGCCTTTTCTTGGTGGCTTTAGGGTATGGAAGGTGAAGGCGAGAGACTGGGTATGTGAGCCGCCCCTCCCCCCTCCTCTTTTCGGGTTTGCGGCAAGGGTTTAGGAATGCGAATTCGGGCGAGGGTTTGTTAGGATTGAATGGGTAGGATTTGGGATTATGATGATATAGAGTTGAGGTTTCGGGCTTCTGGTTCGGGCCTGCCCCAGATGCGAAGCAACAAGCGGGATTCAGTAGAAGTCTGTTCAAGGCCCTTGCCCCCACACCCTAAACCCCAAAACTCTAAACCCTAAGCCCTAAGCCCTAAACCCTAAACCCTAAACCCTAAACCCTAAACCCTAAACCCTGAACCCTAAACCCTAAACCCTAAACCCTAAACCCTAAACCCTAAACCCTAAACCCTAAACCCTAAACCCTAAACCCTAAACCCTAAACCCTAAACACATCACAAGAGCTTTCATGCCACCCTCGCTCGAGGTCAGTTGCAGCCACCGGATTCTGACTGGGCAGGCTTTCGCCCCGACTTCTGGGCTTTGGATGCCTGGCTGGAGTTGGGTTTCGGGTTTAGGGTTTAGGGTTTAGGGTTTAGGGTTGAGGGTTTAGGGTTTAGGGCCTAGGGTTTAGGGTTTAGGGCCTAGGGTTTAGGGTATAGGGTTCAGGGTTTAGGGTTTCGGTTTAGGGTTTAGGGTTTAGGGTTTAGGGGTGCAGGATGCAGGGATGTTATGCACTCTAGACTCAGGCGGTGGGAAGGGGCGGGGGGGGGGGGGGGGGGGGGGGGCAAAGTGGTGTTAAGGCTTGTCTGCTGGGTCTGGAGCATTCAAGCATCACAGAACGTTCGAATATCCTGCCACAGGCGGACTTTAATGCCTAAGGCCCAGAGCGCTTTGCACACGTTTTCGGGTTACCAGTCCATGTTGTACCTTCTAACTTCATTTTCACCTGCGGAAAGCACATGTTCCTGTTTCCTGTCTGGGGGAGTTGCAGCTGGCGGTTGCGCGAACTAAACGGGTATAAATGCCGTGACCCGCATGCACAACACCTTGTCGAATCTGAGTTTTGAGCAGGGTGTTCAAGAATGGTAATTCTGGAAATGTGACGTGCTCAAATTGCCTCAGCCTTTGTGTCTTCAGTTGCGGTCGTTAGCCTTCTTCCTTGAGAGAGCCACGCAACACTCGCAAACACGACTGCTCTACTACCTATCTTTAATGCCCAATTTCTTATAAGATGAAGTTGCCTGCTTTATGGAACACACAGCTTATAAAAATGTATTTTGCGCATTCGTTGGTTTTAGCTTCCGCTTGAGACTGGGGTAGTGGAGCTTGTGTTTGGTTCGTTTCTTGTTAGTTGGCTGTTTTCTCCTTCCACATAGCCCTGTCAACGGCGCTCTTTTTCCCAAGGAACTGCATGGGTTGGGACCCTCTGTTGCGTGCCCACCCTCCCACCCCCCCCCCCCCCCCCCACGAAGTTATTGCGAAACAGATCCCAGCACACGACGGAGAGATCCGGAAGCCGGATAAAAAGCCTGGGAAGCTTGTGAGTTGCAGGGTTGTTGGTCGTGCCGTTTCCCCAGGCACTTCTAACAGTGCAAGCTGCTTCAAGGCTGAGCTTCAACATCCGACACCCGATCTAACATGGAAGGGCTTATCTGCAAGATCCTCTACACGATGCAGAGTCCTACCTCAGTAGGCCATTTGGGCGTGCTGCGTTTGCCGCCCTATACTGGCTTGAAATAAAGGATCGCATTTTCGAACCCGAAACCCTAAACCCTAAACCCCTAAACCCTAAACCCTAAACCCAAAACCCTAAACCCTACTTTCAGAGGAGCTAAATGTCCAACGTTTTCTTCTACCTACCAAAAACAGCAATCGAAGGCGAGAGCTCCCTCTTCATTGAGACGCCTTGTGTCTTAAGAACAGGGCCTAGGGTTTAGGGTTTAGGGTTTAGGGTTTAGGGTTTAGGGTTTAGGGTTTAGGGCTTCAAGAGACCCTATACACCCCCAAAACTTTTGCTGAGGCCAGCGTGATGACGGTGGAAGCCCTGCAGCTTTCCTCCTTCATCTTCCACGTGCCCGCCGGGCTGCAATGGAACGTATAGGGTTTAGGGGCTTAGGGGTTTAGGGGTTTAGGGGTTTAGGGGTTTAGGGTTTAGGGTTTAGGGTTTAGGGTTTAGGAATTTAGGGTTTAGGGTTTAGGAGGAACCGCACGATGTATGTAGGGTTTATAGGGTTTGCATTGGCGTTTAGCCGAGCCTTCCCGCTCCAACGTTGACGCAGGAACTCCGAAGAAACGCCATGCCGACGAAGTCCACATCCCTCGCACGCTCTGCCCAGTGTTCAGTTGCAAAAGAAAATGCTACTGATCTGAAAATTGAATCACAAGACATTATTCTAGTTTTAAAAAATCATTTTCTGCTAAATGGCGGTATTCGTGTACAACTATAGCCAATCTCACGGCCCTCATAAGCCGGAGCACCCCCATCGTGTTGGGTAGTTTTCGCGCCACCCTCAGAAGTGGGGGAGGAGCTGCTTCGCAGAGTTCCGCAAGGGCGCACACGCACGCGCTTGCTTGTGCCAGGGGATGCCTACGAGCATGTCTTGTCGCGTGTTGCACTCCCTGTGTGTGCTTTTGTCATCGCACCGCCCTCGGAAGACGGGAGGGTATATGCATGCTTGTATAGGCGAGCCGGGTTGTTTACAGGGTCCTGCCAAGCGGATCTGTTTGCATCTTGGTCTTGCGTCAGTTCGTGCCGGCCTTTGGCAGCTTGTAGGCGAACTCGACTTCACCCCTAGGATTTAAGCCGGAGATGCTGCTAAACCTAAGCAGGCAGCCCGAAAGCACCAGCCACACTCAAAGCAACCCCAACCCCAAAACCCTCCAGAACTTCAGCCTGCACCCTTACTTGGAGGTTCATAGGAACTTCTACGTAGGGTTATACGTAGGGCGAAACCCTAAACCCGAAACCCTAAACCCTAAACCCTACATTCATAGAACCTCCAACCTCTAGGCCAAAGAATCGGCCCCTCTCCGGGCCGATGATCTGGCAGGAATGGTGCCTCGGCGTGACTTTGGTTTCCTTTTAGGGTTTAGGGTTTAGGGTTTAGGGTTTAGGGTTGAGGGTTGAGGGTTTAGGGTTTAGGGTTTAGGGTTTGGGCAGCTCAAGGTTTGAAGGACCAAACCGCGGCAGCGCCTCCACGGTATTTCTGGCCCTGCTGCCCCTTCTATACTACCCCCCAAGGTTCCCCCCCATCCCCTCAACCCTCAACCCTCAACCCTAAACCCTAAACCCTAAACCCTAAACCCTAACTAAGGTTATTTAAGGGGGAGCCCAGGAAGGTAGTCTAGAGGGGGGTAGTAGGGGATCCCATAAGAGTCTCGAGGTTGGGATGCTTCCCCTCAAACTCACGGCCTTTAAGAGGGCTTTTCGTAGGGTTTAGGGTTTAGGGTTGGGTTTAGGGTTTAGGGTTTAGGGGTTAGGGTTTAGGGTTTAGGGGTTAGTGTTTGGGGTTTAGGGTTTAAGGGTTAAGGGTTTAGGGTTGAGAGCTGAGGGCCTACGCCCAGACTTCCCTAGGATGGGACTTGCATGAGTCGTTGGGATGTGCTGGGGATGAGCCCAGGCTTCATTCAGGTTTTTCGGGGGTTTTGGGTTTAGGGTTTAGGGCTAGGGTTTAGGGTTTAGGGTGTAGGGTTTGGGCTTCAGGGCTTAGGGTTGTGGGTGTTTGAGGTATCGTGCGGCAGTGTTCAACGGTTCATGGTTCCTGAAGCTGCATGGTCACATAGGAAAATGCGAGAAGTCTGCCAAAAAACGTGGTTCACAGCAGGTAGGGCCCTGCATTTGTACATCCTTCTCAAGTCGCCCCTGAATACTGAACTCAGAACACGGAACCCCTAAACCCTAAACCATGAACAATAAACCCTAAACCCCAAAAGCCCTAAACCCTAAGCCCTAAAACCTAGCCCGAAACCCTAAACCCAAAAAGCCCCTCAAGCATCTTCTACCCACAGCACCCTGAAGCCGAAGTTCGAAGCCCACCTGCGCTCCCAGAACCCGATGGGGCGCTTGCAGACATATGGGCATTTCCAAAAATCGGGTACCCCCTTATATACCCCAAACAAAACAGAATCCTAAGGGACCCCCCCCCCCCCCCAAAAAAAAAAATAAAAAAAAGAAAAAAAAGTACCCCGATTTTCGGAAATAGGTCCTACCTAGGTGCCTTCTTCAAGGGGCCCTCGAAAACAAAAACCTTAAACCATCACGACTCGCATCCTATCTGCTCCATGGCCGGCGCCGGGCGGCGACGGCGGGATGTGGCGAAATCCCCGCGCTTCCCGCCGCTCTGGAGCGCCTGGTTTTGTAGGGCTTAAGCTTCAGAATAAGGTTTATGGGATAGTAGGGTAGTTAGGGATGTTTTCCCTTTTGTTGCAGCTTTTTGAAGTTGATATTTTTCAGAAACCCTAAACCCTAAGCCCTCAAGCCCAAACCCGAAACCCTCCCCGAAACTCGAACCTTAAACCCTAAACCCTTAATCCTAAGGCCTAACCCTTAAGCCCTAGATCTAAACTCGAAGCCGCAGGAGTCCCAAGCCGAAGAAGAACGGCTACTTCCCGGCTGGGAAGAGGGAGCCAGAGGAGTTTGGGGCAGCCCCCTTTTTGCACAAAAGCTCAGGGTTTTGGGTTTTGGGTTTCGGGTTTAGGGTTTAGGGAAACCTTTCTTCTTAGCCTGTTGCAAAAAAGGGTTTAGGGTTTCGGGTTTCGGGTTTCGGGGAGGAAGGAGCCTATGTTCCTGCAAGAGCCGTTTGCCCCCGCGAGGCAATTTGTGGTTTTCCTTTGTTTTGTTTTTAATATAGTTTTGTTTTTGTTTCACCCTGTCGCCCCGATAACGCAGCTTGAGTAGGAAGCCTTTTGAATTATCGCAAGCAGGAAGCTTGGGGTTCTTCAGCTTAATGCCGTTTACTTACCCCTAATACCCTAAACGCCTTTCCCGTCTTACCCGAATACCCAAACCCCCTCATACCTTTAAACCCCCTACACCCTAAACCCCCAAATGGGGGTTTCCGAAAAAGGGGGTACCCTTTGTAGGGGTCCCTTTAGGGTATATAAGGGGTACTCTATTTGTCGGACCCTAAACCCTAAACCTTAAATTTTAAACCCTAAACCCTAAACCCCAAACCCTAAACCCTCTCTATCATATATATATATATATATATATTTATTTATTTATTTATTTATTTATATTTAAACCTTCGGGACTTTTCGACCCATCTGCCCCCCAATGTTCGGGCGATTTCGCACAATCTGACCCCAATGTTCGGGCGATTCCGACCAATCTGACCCCAATGTTCGGGCGATTTCGACCAGGTCGAAAAGTTACGAACATTGGGGCCCCCAATGTTCGGGCGATTTCGACCAATCTGACCCCAATGTTCGGGCGATTTCGACCAATCTGGCCCCAATGTTCGGGCGATTCCGACCAATCTGACCCCAATGTTGGGGCGATTTCGACCAGGTCGAAAAGCCACGAAAATTGGGGCCCCAATGTTCAGGCGATTTCGACCAATCTGACCGCAATGTTAGGGCGATTTCGGCCAATCTGACCCCAATGTTCGGGCGATTCCCAGTAGGATGGAAACCTTGTGTTTTCTTAATGTTATGGGGTTCTATGGGCGGGTGGGTTTTTTTCTGAGCCTGGAACCTCCTAATGACTATGAATGCTAGAACAGTGACCCTCGAGACACTAAACCCTAAACCCTAAACCCCAAAACCCTAAACCCTAAACCCGAAATTCCCGACTCCAACTCAAAGGACTGGGCCGGCCAGATCCTGGCGCGCGACTGCGCGAAGCCCCCACCGAGGCGGCTGAACGAGGCGGAGCGTCTGCGGCGGCTGGTGCAAGGCCTGGTCTGTGGGGTTAGGGTGTTTTAGGGTTTAGGGTTTAGGGTTTAGGGTTTAGGGCTTAGGGTTTAGGGTTTAGGGTTTAGGGTTTAGGGCTTAGGGCTTAGGGCTTAGGGTTAGGGTTTAGGGCTTAGGGCTTAGGGCTTAGGGCTTAGGGTTTAGGGTTTAGGGTTTAGGGTTTAGGGTTTAGGGTTTAGGGTTTAGGGTTAGGAGTTCATGGATTATGGGGTTCAGGCTTTAGAGTGGGGCAAAAAGCGTGGGCGTAAAGAGGGTTGAGGGTTTGGGACTTAGAGAGTTCTTGTCAGTAGAGTTTCAAGGCTGAGAAGGTAACATTCAGGGACTTTCCGGGGGTACACGGGTTGCCGGTTGCGATATGGCTTGGATCGCCATAGCCTTCGAGGCTCTAGTTGGGGCTGTACCACTTGTGGGCCATTATGAGGGTCAAGGGTCCCAAAACCCTGCAAGACCTGAAGAACCCCAAGCCTTGCTTCTTTTGTTACTGTACCCTAGAATCCTATACCCTGGTGACCATATGAACCATACATGTGGGGGTCATGTACCCGATACTGCTAGAATTCCTATTAAGACATCTGAGACCACATAAACCCTAGGGTTCATGTGGTCTGCAGGGTAGTAAGCAAGGTACATCGACTGAACAACGTACGCGTGGGAGCTGGGGGGGTTTAGGGTTTAGGGTTTAGGGTTTGTGGCTCTGCTCACGAACCCTCCATACCCTCGAAGCCTAAGGACCCTAAACCCTTGCCTTGTGCACGAGCATCGAAGTTCTAAAGTCCCGCCACAAAGGCAGCCCTAAACCCGAAACCCGAAACCCTAAACCCTGGATGACACGCACAAATCGAGAAGTGTACCACGTTTTGGCGGGCGGCAAAAAAAACCTAAACCCGAAACCCTAGACCCTAAACCCTAAACCCTATAAACCCTCAGCCCTGTAAAACAGGGGCCATGGAGCGTCAGGGACTCTCGGGGCGACTGGCTGAGTTGCCTCCTGGCTGCCTTGTGCGATGCTCGGGCCCCACTACCCTACCCGCCCGACCCTAAACCCTAAACCCTAAACCCTAAACCCTAAACCCCCTAAACCCCCTAAACCCTAAACCCTAAACCCCTACCCCCTACCCTATCAACCCTACTCTAGGCCTATACTTAGACTTGTAACCTGCACTGATAAGCACCCTAAGTCCTCAAAGCAGGCTAATTGGACTTCTTGACCGCCCAGTATCCGCCTACGATTAAGATGGCGTGGTCACGGGAACAAAGGTAGGGTTTAGGGTTGAGAGCTCAGGGTTTAGGGTTTTGAGGGTTTGAGGGTTGACAGTTAGGCGCATATGACGGGGCATGGCGTGTGTTTGCGGATGTGTGCAAGCTTTTTTTCCTCCCGAGCGCAGCCCTAGTAGACATAAACCCCAAACCCTAAACCCCAAACTCCGAACCCAAAACCCCAAACCCTACACCCCAAACCCTAAACCCCAAACCCTAAACCCCAAACCCTAAACCTAAACCCCAAACCCCGACCCCAGGTTGCATGAGCCAGGGACACACCAGGCCGCTATGGACTTCGGCCAGAGCTGCCCCTTGGGTAGGGTTTAGTGTTTAGGTTTAGGGTTTAGGGTTTGGGGTTTAGGGTTTAGGGTGATTCGTTGCAGGTGCATGACATGCCCGGTTTTGGGGTGGTTTGGGGTCCCTAAACCCTAGACCCTAAACCCTAAACCCTAAACCCTAAACCCTGGGAATTCGGGAAGTCGCAACCCCAAGTTCCTTCCATGGGAATGTGAGTACTCTATCCACTTCATTTTCTACCCTAAACCCTAAACCCTAAACCTAAACCCTAAACCCTTTGCAGGGTCCGAGTTCCCAGTTTACGGGATCCTGGGCACTTCGGGTCTTACAGGGGTTTGGGGGGGGGGGGGGGGTACCCTTTACCAGGGTTTAGGGTTCAGGGTTTAGGGCTGAGGGTTCTTTAGGGTTTAGAGTTTAGAGGTGGCTTGTAGTGTTGTGTAGGTGTTTGCTGTAAGGTGACACAGAGCCTGGCTTTGCGCCACCTTACTAACAGTTACAGGTGGCCCCCAGCTGTACACAGTACTGCCATAGCTCAACTAGGGAACGAGGTACCTTACGTCCTCTAAACCCTGAACCCTAAACCCGAAACCGCCCAGGACTTATAAACCCTAAACCCTAAACCCTAAACAATGAGGGTATTTCTTCGTTTTTGAGCAGCTCCCTCCACAGCCGAGCCCATGGAGCTGGTAATCCGGTGTGGGATGGATCTGCGTGGACAACATACCGGCTCTTTGTAAGGAATCCCCTATATATATATATATATATATATAGACCCTTCAGGGGCAGAATATGCAGAATATGGGGTGCCTCATTCCAACCTCCCCAACTGAGAACCTTTACGACAATCCTTGGTCCTTGCCTCAGCACCCCAAAATATAGCAGTGTGTCTGCTAGGATTATGGAACGGTTGAAATTTTGGAGCAAAAGGGACCAAACCCGAAACCCTAAACCCAACAAGGCCTCATGAGCCTGGCCCTGTGGCACCGCTTCGGATCCGCGGAGTACGCGGAGCGAATGGGTTGGCTGGAGCGCAACCCGCCCGGTTCATGGAGGTTCATGGATAGTGTTTAGGGTTTAAGGGTTAACTGTACTTGTAGCCGTATTTTGGGTACTTATCACCCTGGAGGTTCATGGATAGTTAGAAGTAGGGTATAGGGTTAACTGTCCTGCTCGCCGAATTTTGGGTACTTATCAGCCTGCTGAGAACGACCCTTGAACCCTGAAGTAAGGGTGTGGCGTTTCAGTGCGGCTCGCTGCAAGGTTGTACCTGGACTTGAACCTTTCGGGTTAAGGGCTGCGGGGCTTAACTCCTCAAGCGACGGCCTTGCAGGATTCAAGTATCGTCTTTGCTCTTGAGACCCCTAAACCCCCCTTGAGACCCCCAAACCCTACAGACCCTTTAAACCTTCAAACCTGTGAGCCCAACAAGCCCTAGAGACCCTCATAAACCTAAAAGCCCAAACCTGTCATGCGCCTGCTGGCAGCCTAGGACCCTAAACCCTAAACCCTAAACCTGGGCTGAGAGAGCGGTTTATTGGTTGATGACCTTTTTGGTTGGGATCTGATGTCTTGTTTGCGCTCAGCCTGGACGGCAAACCTTTTGATGACCTGTACTTCAACCGCCAATTCCCTGCAGAGTGTCCGAGAGGTCAGCTAAGCGGGTGGCAAAAAAAAACCCTAAACCCTAAACCCTAAACCCTAAACCCTAAACCTAGGTACCGACTACGCAGCCATGGTGGCCACCCTGCCCACGAGGGCCGTTGAGGCTGCCATCAGCTTGTGGCGATCCGGCCAGCACGCCGCAGGCACATTTGAGCGAGGAGCAAGACCCCCAACGCTTCGTCTATTTAGGATTTATAGGGTTTAGGGTTTAGGGACCCTAAACCCTAAACCCTAAACCCTAAACCCTAAACCCTAAACCCTAAACCCTAAACCCTAAACCCTAAACCCTAAACCCTAAACCCTAAACCCTAAACCCTAAACCCTAAACCCTAAACCCTAAACCCTAAACCCTAAATGGATGGAGTTGCTCTTGATGTTGGTGAGGGCATGAGTCTCACACGTGGGTGCTTGCTTCAAGGGAACGCCGAAGCATGCCGACCAACCGCAATCAAGGAAATTTTGCCTTCTCTACTACATACAGCCGCGAGCAGCATGCTGCTGAAGACCCAAAATATCTCCAAAACTTCCAAAGTTTCCTCCTACATTTTCTTATTTTCTGCCGAAATTTCCTAATGTCTGCCTACATCCCCCAAGAGCCGCCTTGCAGGCGTCGACACCACGCAGCAGCGGAGCGTGCGGCAGATTGAGCTGCGAGCCTGGGCTATGGGGAATGCCCGGCAAGAGGCAGAGGAGGAGACCTGGGGTGTTGAGGTTCGTTTCAGCTTCGCTCTTGAGATGACGGCTAGATGTTAGGGTGTAGGGGTTGCGGGTGTAAGGCTTATAAGGCTTATTGTTTTAGGAACCCTTACCCTAAACCCTAAACCCTAAACCCTAAACCCCAAACCCTAAACCCAGCAAACAGAGGAGCTCAGAGCCGCGGAGGATGCCGCGAAGATCTCAAGCTCCACCTCTCACTTGGAGGTGCAGCTGACGGATTTTAGGCTATTTTTGGGCCTTGGGGTTTGGGGTTTAGGGTTTAGGGTTTAGGGTTTAGGGTTCAGAAGTTTCAGGTTTAGGGTTTAGGGGTTTAAGGAGTACAGGAGGGGTTGATCAAATTTGTGGGCCATCGCGATTTGCCGGGGCAGCTTTTGCATCTTGATTCAAGTTTGCCCGCTGCAGTGCTTGTCCTCCTGGCTGCTTCTGGGAGTGGGACTCCACCGTTGGTGGCGGGGCTTTCTAGGATTCCAGGGCTTTATAACCGGCCACTAAACCCTCAACCCTAAACCCTAACCCTAAGCCCTAAACCCTAAACCCTAACCCCTAACCTCTAAACCCTAAACCCGAAAGGGCTCTCTTTGGTCTGAGGTCCTGCGCGCCTGTCGAGCACAACGGGCGCAGTCGGCCGGTGAAGTGCTGGTGCGGAAAGCCTACGAGACTCGGCAGCCCAGTGGTACCCTTTGCCCTTTTGCTTACGGTTTTGTTAGCAGGGAATGAGGGAAGTAGGCCCTATGTATACCCTTTACGGGATTTTATAGGGTACCCCATTCCCCCATTCCCTCCTATCCAACTGTAAGTTGTTTTGGTTCTGGGTTCCCTTATAAAGTTTCCAGCGCATTATGAAAATGTGGTTGCTGGGCTACCAAGCACTTTGTGGTTGTCAGGGTTTATAGACGGTTCAGGGTCTGTGGCTGTATACGACAGGAGCAAGAACATTTGTCAGCAGCATTGTCCCAGAATTTCCTGATGACCAAATCGCCCATTTTCATCAACTAAGCACCTAGATCACACAGTGAAACCTGCAGGCTGCATCGAAGTCAGGTTTCACACCTGTTATCCTACCATCCTAGCAATCTGTGTCAGACAGACAGAGCTATACTGCAACAACCTATATATAACCCTAAACCCTAAACCCCAGACCCTAAACCCTAAACCCTAAACCCTAAACCCAAAAAAAACAAAGGAAAGGCTCACCGTGGGCCCCAGCAACTCCTTGTGGGACCTCTGGCGCAAGAGGGAGGCGATCCTGAGCACGGCGCTGGAGGGCGCAGGCTTCGGACCCCTGCGAGACCTGACGAAATAGCATCCTTAAGGATCCATGTACCTATATTATGGGGGTTAGGGTTTAGGGTTTATAGGGTTTAGGGTTTAGGGTTTAGGGTTTAGGGTTTAGGGTTTAGGGTTTACGAAAATACGGGACAATATAGATCCCCAAATAGTCGGATCCGCTTACATTAAGGACCCCAGGAAGGTACCCCGAATTTCGGAAACCCCCATATGGTGGGCTCTTAGTTATAGGAATCCCTGTAAGGCTCAAGTATATACTATGCAGGTCCATAGATCCTTAGGGCATACATTTCGGGTTCAGGGGTACGATGGTTTTTGTTGTGGGCTTCCTTGCGTGGCTTCAGGGATGCGATCCGACCCGAAACTGCCGGTCGGTGGGCTTCCGTGGGCTTCCACCATTTTGGCGCCTTCCATGTTGTGATTCTCTCTTTTCCTACAGCTTAATGGGTTATACCTTCGAATTCAGCGGTAGATGCTACTAACTGTAAGTAAAAAGAGTCCCAGGTATTTTTTTGGGCAGCATCTAAGGAGAAGCTTTGCGCACGGTGCGTGGGTACTGTGGCCCAGACATGGACCACGAAAATGCTGCCTGGACGCTGACCGTAGACCTCCTCACCATCACTCCTCTGACGGAGAACGCAGGCTCCACGATGCTCTACTGGTTAGAGCTTCATGGGTACATATAAGTAGGGTTATCTACGTGCCCCACATAGGGTTGCAAGTGCAGTTACCATACTTATGACCCCACTTAAAACGCCCATGAACCTTAAGTAGTCTTACTCCAAAAAGCTCTGGCGCGTACTTCAGGGTTCTACTAGCTGACGCTGCTGCAGGCGATGATTTGAGGTTCAGAAGACTTTGCATCATGGATTGCGAAGCCGATCCCGCTCCTCCCCCAACCACCAGCCCTAACTCCTGAACCCGGTACCTCCCCAAATCAGCCCCTGAGTCAAAAACACGCCGCCCTAAACTTTTTTTGGTGACCCCTTAATTCAGGAATATACCTTAAATCATATTGGGGTTCCGATTATAATTTAAGGCATATTCCTTAATTAAGGGGTTTTGGAGTCTCTAGGTATAGAATCTGGTAGCCTGTAAGCCCCGCCTAGGAGGAGACGCCCGTTCCAGCAAGATTATTGCGCCCTCTGCACCCCTATTTGAAGGCTCCTGGAGAGGGTTGTATATATGTGTGTATATATATATATATACATACATACAAATGCGACACTATAAGTAGGGATATTAAGTTCGCAGACCCGGATTCTTGTCGCCACCTTGCAGTGCCTAGCAGGCCCAGTGACTTGGCACGGCGACTACGCCGCCTTCCTCCGAAAGCGCTGTCTGGAGAAGAACCGGGCGCCGGCTGGCAGCTGCCCCTGGGAAACTTCAGACCTGAAGCCAGTTTTGTTGTTTAATCTATCTATGTATCTATCTATCTCCATATGTAGATACACATATAGATGCTAGCACAAACATATGTATATAAGGATATACATTGTACAAATGTATAGATATAGAGAGAGAGAGAGAGAGAGAGAGAGAGAGAGAGAAAGAGAGAGAGGGGAGCTTGGGGGTTTAGGGTTTTGGAATTTGGGGCTTTTGGGGCAAGCAGCTTACGCTGAGAAAAAGACCATCCCTCTCCACAACCCTGTGAGTCTGAAGCACCTGATGTGGTTCGCTTGGGCTTCAGGGTTCAGGGTTTAGGGTTTCCATATAGCTTAGGGCTTGTCGGGTTTAGGGTTCAGGGTGATGTTTCGGCTTTGGTTCTTCCAGTTAGGAAGTCCTGTGGGTGCCCTATACATGATTTAGGGTTTAGGGCTGTCGTCTTCGTGGTCGTCTTCGTGGGTAGGTAAGCCTGGCTGAGCAACTTAAGTCCAAAACCCTAACCCCTACACCGCAAACCCGACCTTAGGGGAGCCCTTCTTTCCTAAACCCTAAACCCTAAACCCTAAACCCTAAACATTAAACCCTTTGAGGCTCCCGCACTCCACCGTGGGACCCGGACGTGCCGAGGAAGCCCCGGGGGCGTCCGGCCACGGCGCTCCCGGGCTCCTATGAGCCAGATCTCATCGGACTGGCCTGACCTCCCTGGGCCTTAGTAGGCAAAGAGGGAATGAGGGCCCTACATATACTCTTGAGGGCCCTACATATACTCTTTCAGGGATGATAGGGTACTAGCAGCTACAGGAAATGAGGGAATTCGGGCCCCAAACATTCTCTTCAAGGGATTACATAGGGTACCTCATTCCGGCATGCCCTACTAAGAACAAGCCAGTGTAGGTGATTTACTTGAAGGCTCCCTTTTCTAAGCCCCTTGAAGCCGTCAGTTTATGCAAGGGCTGACGGAAGTTCAGGTTTTAGGGTTTAGGGTTTAGGGTTTAGGGTTTAGGGTTTAGGGTTTAGGGTTTAGGGTTTAGGGTTTAGGGTTTAGGGTTTAGGGTTTAGGGCTTTTTCATGGGGTTTAGGGCTGAAGCTCAGACCCCTGCTTTTAGCTGTTGAGTTTTCAGTCGGGGGGAGGAGTGCTAAAGGGGATTGCTAAAGCTGGGAGGCCAGAGCGCGTACTACTTACCAGATCCCAATTTGACAGTTCCGTTTTTCGTTCGCCACCCTATCCTTCGCACATGTCGAGATCCAGCAGGGACTCAGGTATCCAAAGACCCCCTGAAACCCTAAACCCTAAACCCTAAACCCTAAACCCAGATTAAAACCCTAAACAGAAGAAAAACGAGCTTCGAAGCGGGACTCTGTGCTCTAGGCACTGGCCGGAGCGGATTTTGGAAGAGCCAGCAAGCGGCCGGATGGCACTGGCTGGGCAGATTTGATGGACTCAGTGGCATCCTAAACCCTAAACCCTAAACCCGAAACCCTAAACCCTAAACCCCAAACCCTAAACCCCCAGCTCATCCATTATGTTTCACCCCGCCCCCCCACGAATTTTTCACAAATTCGGGACAACTTCCCGCACTCTTTGGGAATGTCCTTTCTTTGTACAAGGGCATTGTCTTGCCGCAAAAGCGTGCCGACTTGCCCCTCAGACTTCAGGCAGAAGTGGCGTAGAGCAAAGTGGCCAGCTGCAGCAGGCATGGGTTTGGGGTTTAGGGTTTAGGGTTTAGGGTTTAGGGTTTAGGGTTTAGGGTTTAGGGTTTAGGGTTTAGGGTTTAGGGTTTAGGGTTAGGGTTTAGGGTTTAGGGTTTAGGGTTTGGGGTTTCAGCTTTCCGGGTTTAGGGTTTAGTGTCGGCGAATGTGACATGTAGACTTCAAATGCCATGCTGCTAAGGCGTGCGCATAACCTGATCTTTGTCAGCCGCCTCGTCTTCGTGTTCCTTGGGATCTTACGACTGGCGATGTCGAGCCACACTTGCCCAGCTCTCATTGACATTCCATCCATTTTCGGCAAAGGGCAAAGAGCCAAACCCTAAACCCTAAACCCTAAAGTTTCAGCCAAGGTTTCTGTGTGCATGGTGCATCAACCGCTATAACGCTGTGGCTGGTTGGCCATTGCGGCCTGGATGTTGTTCGTACACATGTGTGCTTGCTGGCTCTGACTCTTTCCACGCAGCACTAGAGAGAAGAGGCACATGTGTCAACTAACCTTGCGCCCTCAAAACCCCTAAAACCCCCAAGCCCTAAAAACCCTCGGGTTTAGGGTATAGGGTTTAGGGTTTATATGGGTTTAGGGTTTAGGGTTTAGGGGAAACCCCAAGAACCCTTTAACCCTTAGTACGCGGCGAGGCCCTGCACCGTGAACCGCAGAAGCTTGCACTCTGATCCCAAAACAGCGGCCCAGGTGGACGATGATGACGCTCTGCCAGTGTCCGGGCACTTCTTTGCTTAGCCAATAGTTGAACTTTAAACTTTTTGGGTTTCCTTATTTAGTAGGAAGAATAAAGTTTAACCTTTTCTTCCCCTTGGTTATTGGAGAAGTAAGTCTCATCGGTTGGACAGAAAGATTGGGGTTTCCGAAATTAGGGGTACCTTATATTGGGGTCCTTATTATGCGGGAATCCTACTATTTGGGAATCTGTACTGGGGTGGTCCTCTATTTAGGGTTTAGGGTTTAGAACCTGTTTAGGGTTTCGGGTTTGGGGGTTAATGTTTAGGGTTTATAGACCTTCTTAGGGATGGTGGTACGATAGGGTGTATGACCCCAATTTTAGCTTCATGGGGTCCCAAGGTAAAGTTCCAGTTAGTTGAACTTAAGGGCCAGGTTACCTCTCCACCCTAAACCCTAAACCCTAAACCCTAAACCCTAAACCCTAAACCCTGATCCTTGCATGGGGACCAACTGAACCCCAGCAGGGCTTCATGGTTCCCCAAGAAGCCCAATACTCCTGGGTTACGAATATACCTTAAAATGTACAGGCATCCCTACTATGATTTTAACGTACATTCCTTAACTAAGCGGTATTGGGTTCATGCTGCATTTTCTTGAACAGGGATTAAAGGTACTAGTGGGTATATGACCCCAATTCTTACTTCGCCTTTACTTGAACTTTAGACTTTTTGGGTTTCCTCATTTGGTAGGGACATTATAGTTTAGCCCTTTTTTCCCCTTGGTTATTGGAGAAGTAAGAATTGTTGGGGTTCGACAGTTTGCCGCCCCAGGCTTTCGGTGTTTGCTCAGATGCGCCTTGCCGATCTTGCCACGGCCTGGCTGCGTGACGACACGCATGAGACGCTGGCACTTTGGCAGAGCATGGAAACCGCTAAACCCTAAAACTTCAAACCCTAAACCTATAAACTTTGACCCCTAAACCTTAAACTTCTAAACCCTAAACCCTATACTTTGAATCCTAAACCCTAAACTTTAAACCCTAAACCCTAAACATGAGGGTAGGGGAATGGGAGGGGGAGGAGCGACTAGCCAGGCGGTGGATGTAGCCATGCCTTTGTCCTGCGGGGTAGCGCTCAAGAGCTTTTACGTGTAACATAGGGTTTAGGGTTTAGGGAATAGTTACTCATAGTGTCCCCTTATGGTCTCTTGATAATCATACTATAAAAACTTCCCGAAACCCTATTCTACATTAGCTAAGCCCCTATGGTAGGCTTGCAGCATTCTCCGATACGGGATCTCAGAAACACTTGCAAAGAGTAGATTTTTTGGATTCGATTGTAGGTTGAATACTTGAGTAACTTTTACAAAGAAGTAGGGTTTGGGCTCATCAGGTTAACAGCCCTAAACCCTAAACCCCGAAACCCTAAACCCCTACACCCAAAGCGCAGTCCTGGCGAGCCGAGGTCAGCACGATGCCGTACTGGGAGCATTGCCCGCCTCTTTGGCCTGTTACCCCCTGAGGTTGGCGCAGTTGTACTTGGTATAGGGTTTCGGGTTTAGGCGGTTTAGGGTTTAGGGTTTAGGGTGTAGGGTTTAGGGTTTAGGGTTTAGGGTTTAGGGTTTAGGGTTTAGGGATGGGAACTTACCTTGCAGGAGATCAAAAAAGATGCCGGGTGAAGGGGGTTCTACCACCCTGAGGCCCTTTTAAAGCTTCAACGCCCGACGCCCAGCAGAGTGGGAAAAGCCAACCCAAAAAAAGAGGGAAAGGCGACCTAAGCCCCAAGTCCTGTATGGAGGTTCATGGGTACTGCACTTATGAGTAGGGTACTTCTGAGAAGGGTCTTAAGTACTCTAAGTAAGGTTAGAAGTAAAGTTCTGAGTAGGGCTTTAAGTACCCTAAGTAAGGTTGGAAGTATAGTTACCACACTTAACAACCCTACTTTCGAACTAGCCATGAACCTCCGAGTAAGTCCCCCCCCCCAGCCCGTGGGCGACTGCTAACCCTAAACCCTAAACCCGAAACCCGAAACCCTAAACCCAAGGAAGTGGGTGGAGTCCATGTTCCGGACATGGTACTCTGCCTCGCACCTCGGTACACACTCCCTTCTTAGTGGGTTTAGGGTTTAGGGTTTAGCGTTTAGGGGTTTAGGAGAAGGTTTAATGTCCCTATACCCTAAGAGGGATTATAGCAGTACAAGGTTATAGGACCCCATTTTTAGGGTCCACTTGGGTTCTTAGTTTCTTGATTTTGTTTTTTGTTCTCTCTCTCTCTCTCTCTTGCCCCTTCGTTCTCCCCTCCCTGCAAAGGTCTGCGATTTAGGGATAAGGGTTGCCCTGACACCTTTCTTCACCACCCGACCCTCAACTCTTTTCAGGTGATTTCGAGCAAAGTCCAATCTATGCAGGTGCTGTGAGCCCTAAACAGCTCCATGCAAACGCCGTTCCTCATGCTAAGTGGGCCGGGGCCCTCCGGGCTTCATTAAACCCTAAAACAGTCCCTAAACCCAAAAAAAGTAGGTGGTCTGGACGGTTCACCGCGCAGTACCGTGCTTTGTCAAAGCGTATTAGGGCTTACAAGGAGTTGCAGAGTACTGCCTGGGATTACAGGAGCCCCGGCACCCTTGAAGCCCTGAAGTCCCAAAGCCCTCAAATTTGCAGCCCCGAAGCCCTCACCTTATAAGGGACGGGCTGCGCAGGTATATAGGGACTCCTTATGTTCCTTAAGTTGTGGGCTAAACCCTGAAGCCTGAACGCTGAACCCTGAACCCTAAACCTAAACCCTAAGGCAGATTTACACCACTGTCACCATCATCATAGCCGGCCCTGGGCTTCTTGGCTTGTTTGTCACTTCAATGTTGCTGTTAGCTTTTCCTCGTTCGGGGGTTTAGGGTTAAGGGTTTAGGGTTTAGGGTTTAGGGTTTAGGGTTTAGGGCTCATCGGGAGGCTTGAGGGTTGACGGTTCAGGGTGTTAGTCCGCCCTGTGAGAACTTCTCGCTCGCGTCACTTGGCCCGGTTTCCCTGCAGACGATTTCTGTGGCCCATCCCAGATACTCCTACACTGCCCAACAAATTGCTTAGTGCTAGGGCTGGGAGTGTTCGAAGCTATAACTAAAGTTCGTGTGTGCTGTTTAACCCTAAACTGCCACAAAACCACCCTTAATTCCTGTAGAAGTGTGGCAGCCCTTTGATTTTTTTAATCGGGTCCCAATGCTTCGCCATGAACCCACTTGTACTGAGCCTTTCGGCTCCACGTTCCCTCTAAGCTAGTATGTTAGGGCATCATGCACAGAGCGCATTTGGCGCGCAAAGTGTCTTGCAGTCATGTACCATGAGTTGTGGGGTTCCGTTCTTATCCTGACAATTTACCAAAGCAATTTCTTGGCGGAAGCTGATGGAGTCCTTCGCCGCTATCTCCGCTGGCTTGGCTTGCTTCGCCGCGGGAGCCGAGGCGGTGCGATGGGCAATGTCGCCCTTGAGCATCAAGCAAACCAACGGTCGCAAGCAGCATGTGGAGGGCATGTACTGGGGGCTTGTCTTCCTTTTCGCCTTTGCCTTAGAGGTTAAGGGCTTCATCTCACCGACCTCGTTCGTCGTCCTCGGAGCAGTGGCGTTCGTCCGCTTCTTCGGGACCAAGCATGAAGCCAACCATGTACATGTCCTCCCAACAAGCACCGACCACGTGTTGCAGTGGGGCCACCGCTTTCTCGACATACCGGCAAGCCCCTTCGAGATGTGCCAGGACGACTTGACAGACTGCCACAAAGGGCACCACAAGGCCTGGATGCCCAACAGCACCTATCCGGACCCCGACGCTTACATGACGCAGTCTTGGTGGCCCATCGGTCTCCTCCACTGCATCTTTGAGAGTGAGCAAGCGATGCCTCGTCATGTGTGGGAAACCAAAGGGAAGACCCTTGGGCGAAGCCTCGCCTGGGCCGCATACAAGAGTCTCTGGCTCTACGCCGTCTGGTACTACACTGGATGGGAGCATCTCAAGCTGTGGCTCTTGGCATGTCGCATCGCCAACGGCGGAGGTCTTTTCATCTTCCACAACCTCTTGCACCAAGAGCCCATCTACTCCCACGGCTTACCCTTCGCCTCGAACGTCCCGAGCTTCTTTTCCTTCGTGTGGCGAGTTCTCCTGGGAGAAGACCTTCTCAACGCCGTGGTGTACCATAAGCGCCACCATCACCACCCCATCGTTCCAGTGGAGGCACTGGACGTGGACTCTCCAAGGAAGAATGTCAAGTGATCCGATGGCTTTTCACTTTCGGCCCCGGACATCACAGGTGAGTTTGTCCCTGTGACCTCTTGAGGTTGTATCCTGTAGAGGCAGCCGAAGCATGGTCCGGCGTTTAGAAAGACTGACTGTGCGAGCTTTTGCTGTCGGGTGCTGGTGATTTTTGAATCGTTCGTGCCTAGCAATCCTCCAACCTCAACGCCCTAAACCCTAAACCCTAAACCCTAAACCCTAAACGTTAAGTACCCTAGACCACGCAACCTCTTGGATGGAGTGCCGGCTCCATTCCCCCACCCGAGTTCTTAGTAGGGCATGAGGGAATTAGGGCCCTATATATATATATATACCCTTTAGGGGATTATATAGTTCCCGAAACCCTAAACCCTAAACCCTACACCTAGGGTGCCTCATTCCATTTCATTCCCTACTAAGAACCAGCCAGCTCACTCAGGGCGTGGTCGGTCCAGGTTCCCTCACGCCTTTTTGAATCGAAGCCAGTCAAGCAGACCTCTGAAGTAGTCCCCAGCAATGTGTGCGAGTGCTTGGCGGGTGGCCCCTATACCCTAAACCCTAAACGCTAAACCCTAAACCCTAAACCCTACACCCTACACCCTACACCCTAAACCCTAAACCCTAAACCCTCGGCCAGCTATGCGGGAGCGAAAAAAAACCCTAAACCCTAAACCCCATGCTGAGGATGGACCTCTACTTCGCCACGGCCTCAGAGTGACCGTGGGACCTCGCAGGCTTTCCTGAAGCCCTAGAAGTATCCTTGAGGGGTCGAGGGTAGAGGGCTCTGGGGTTTAGGGTTTAGGGTTTTGGGTTTAGGGTTTATTTACACAAGGGTTGCTTGGGCTTGCTTCGGTACTGAGATCAGCCCCAAAGACAAACCTGTTCTCTGCCCGGGAGTGGGCTCAGTTCGAAACCCTGTACCCTCTGAACTCTCTGAGCCCCTGCACCTCGAACTCCAGCGCTCTTAAAACCCTGGTTCAAGGTCATGATCCTCCCGTACCAGCTCTACTCCGTGCTCATGACGTTTGTTAGAAAAGGCTGCTGGGTTAGGCACTTAGTTTGCTGAGGCAGATTTTTGTAAGCCGGGAAGCCTCGCTGCGTTGGGTTTAGGGCTTCGAGCTTAGGACCCTAGAGTCTGCCGACTGAGAATCCCTGCCTGCTATCCCAATTTTGGTTCGAACCGATTGACTTTGGAGACATGCTAACCCTAAACCCAACACCCAAACCAAAGAGTCGTAAACGACTTTCAACAGCTCAGGAGTGATTTCCTCCCGAACCTGCCATGTGACCTACTTCTGGAGCTTGTGGCAAAGCTGGATCTGCGCCTCACCCTTCGTTAGCTAGGACCGGGAGTAGGCCCTGTTTTTTTTTGTTTAGGGGTTGGGATTCCCTTATCATCCCCTTAAAACCAAAAAGGGTACCCTTTTTATTCCAAGGTTACTCCCGGGTCTAGTTAAAGCTACAAGACGCGCAGTTGTTTTGCTTCGCCTGCTCCTCCGACATGCCCCAGCTTTGAAACCGGAAATCTCAGAGGTTTCTCATAGTTTGGGGGTTTGGGATGTTCCCCCTTAGATTTGCAGTCCTTAATAGGGACTCTCTACGACATTCCCTATTAAGGACTGTTAGTTTCAGGGGGAACATCCCAAGTTCCGGGTTCACTCGGAGGTTCATGGGATTTTTCAGGAGGGTGTTTAGTACCCTAAATAGGGTTAATGTATGGTTACCATTCTTATAGGGTTTAGGGTTTAGGGTCTATAAGTATGGTTGCCATACTTATAGCCCAACTTTTCACGACCCATGAACCTGCAAGTAGGGGGAACAGCCCAAAGTTTGGGGTTCATTGGGACGTAAACCCTAAACCCTAAACCCTAAACCCTAAAACCCTAAACCCTAAACTCTAAACCCTAAACCCTAAACCCTAAACCCTATCTGGGAGTGCCGCCCTTGCACATCAGGCTGGAACCGCGGGCGGGCCTTTTGTCTAGTGGTGTGCTTCATGGCTTCCAGCACAAGACCTACCTTTTGGGGACCACATGAACCCTAAAAGGGTTCATGGCCCATATACCGTAGGGTTCATGGTTCATATCACCTTGGTAGGAATTACAGGAGTATCCTGGTATATGACTCCAATTTTACGGCTCATTGGGTCCCAAAGGTAGGTGATGCCGTCTCAAGACGAAGGCGCGGTAATGAAAGGGGCGGCCTCTTGTGTGCCGAAGCCGAGGTTAAGACCTGACGAGGTCATTGGGAAGCTTTGATTTAGGGCCTGTGGAACCCTGAATCGCTCAGGGTTTGAGTAGTTGAAAGGTTCCTAAACCGCCCTGCACCCTAAAAACTAAACCCTAAACCCTAAACCCTAACCCTAAACCCTAAACCCGAAAGGGCCTTAAAGCCTTCGGCACTGACAGTGGCCGAGGTGGCTTCATGCTTCGGAGCCCACGCTTCTTCATCCAGACGCAGGTGTGCTCGCATAGGTTTCGGGTTTAGGGTTTAGGGTTTAGGGTTTAGGATTTAGGGTTCAGGGTTCCTGGACCGATATATTACACCTCGGGGCCCAAGCGCTTAGCGGCGAAACCCGACGCCAGAAACCCCTAAACCAGTCAATGCGCCGCAGATCTCTGAAGGAAAGCCAGCCGTCGAACCCTTCATATGCTGGAGACACACCCAACTCACCCTAAACCCTAAACCCTAAACCTAGCACCCACCGCGCATACCCTACGCGCAGTTCCTGCAGATCCTCATCTACTGCACGCGAAGCTCGGCCACCAGATCTTGCGTCAGAAGGTCTCATCCTCCCCATCTTTAGGGTTTAGGGGTTTAGGGTTTAGAGTTTAGGGTTTAGGGTTTAGGGTCCAACCTCGAAGTCCGGCAGAGCCTACAACAAACAGCAACTAGCACCGACCACCCCACAGCCCGAACCGTCTTAAGACCTGAAGCTGCAGAGCCTTCAGGGTCCTAGCAAGCCCCCCCTTCCTATTAGGATAAGGGGGACCCTTAAAAGGCAACCCCTTCTTCACCCTCTTCTGGCTCTCTTAAACAGGGACCTTATTCAGAGGGTCTATATCCCCAAGGGTCCCCCTAATCCTATCCCCTACTTATCCTAAACGGTGTCCCTCGAAGAAGGAGCCCTGAACCCAGGTTGATGTTCGGGTTGACTTGTCGGGTTAGGGTTTAGGGTTTACGGCTCATATACCCTGATAGGATTATGGATTTTCAATTGATATACGATCCAATCTTCGGGGGTTCAACCCTAAACCCTAAACCCGAAACCCTAAACCCTAATCCTAAACCCTAACCCCTGAGCCCTAAACCCTAAACCCTAAACCCGAAACCCGAAACCCTAAACCCTAAACCCTAAACCCTAAACCCTAACCCTAAACCCTAAACCCAAGTCAAGAACCCTAAACATTTGGTCCGCAAGGTTGTCTGCTCTCGCGTTTATAGGGTTCTTAAGGGAGAGAAGTTCATGGGGGATAGGCTAGGGATAGGTACCTGGGGAGCCTTCTATATCCCCCTTGGGGATTATTTGTATTTTCGTTTATATAAAACTCAAGAGGATATTAAGAATGTTTGTTGTTTTTTTTAAGGTTCTACGGGGAGTATAGCCTTTGGGGCGCAAGGGGGTAGCAGGGGCCCTTGAACTCTATACACCCCTTGAACCCCCCGCCCCCTCCCTTAAGGACCCCTACACCCTAAGCCCTAAACCCTAAACCCTACTAAACCCTGTTTGGCCTTCCAAGGAGTGTATGGGCTGAACAAGTACGTGCTTTGGATTGGCCTCTGCATTCCCGAACCCAGACTTGCAACTATGAGGCTTAGACCTACTGGGAGGTTTAGGGTTTAGGGTTTAGGGTTGGGTGTAGAATTCTATGTATGGCAAGTCTAGATACAACCCCTCATTCGGGGACTTAGAACTTAGAACTCCTATAACCACCCATGAGCCTTCCAGCAGAGTAACCCTTGTACCCCCAGGTTGAAACCCCCCTTTCTGGGAGACCCACATCTGCCCCTGAGCCCGAAGGAACACCTTCTTAAGAGTCCCTGAACCTGGCTAGCCAGGCTAGTATGCTTCAGGGGCTGGGTATGCAACCTACACCCCAAACCGTAAACCCTAAACCCTAAACCCCCTAAACCCCTTGGAACCTGCTATGTTTCCCTGGTGAACTCTCGGGACTCCAGAGAATGAACACTGGGCCTTCGGTCACAGGGGGTGGCCCTCAGAAAACTCGAGTAGGGAGGTGCCTCGGTTGATTTTTGGAACTAAGTTTAGGGTTTAGGGTTTAGGGTTTAGGGTGTAGGGTTTGGGGTGTAGGGTTTAGGGTGTAGGGTTTAGGGTTTGGGGTTTGGGGTTTAGGGCTTAAAGTTTCATCAACCCTGACGTTAACCTTCTACTATACCCACTCAAACCCGACACCCAAAATCTCAAGATCGCCCCCAAGCCCCCCCAAACCCTAAACCCTAAACCCTAAACCCTAAACCCTAAACCCTAAACCCTAAACCCTAAACCCTAAACCCTAAACCCTAAACCCTAAACCCTAAACCCTAAACCCTAAACCCTAAACCCTAAACCCTAAACCCTAAACCCACCCAAGGTGCAACTTTCCCTGTTCCACACCTGGCCAACACGCCACTCGGCGTAGAAGAGCACCGGCCAGGGACGGGCATGGGCTTACCCCGAAACACGACCTCTTTAGGGTTATAGGGCTATAGGGTGTAGGGTGCTTAAGAACCACCCAAAAATGCTGCGTACGCCCTTGGAATAGTTGTTGTTTTCCCGTTGTTGGGTTTAAGAGGGTCATATATACGAATATGTTTTACTTCAGGCCCATCCTAGAATGAAGAAAATTTCTTCCTTGCCCGTAAATTAAGGAAGAATATTTTGCATTTGTTGTGATTTTTCATTGTGGTGTGGAGGGGGTTCTTCAGCAAACGGGAGCTACTTGGGGGTCCATGGGGTACTTACAAGTAGGGTTATAAGTAGGGGAATAGAAGGGGGTCGAAATAATTGCTACTAGTATTACTCCCTTGTTGTCCCTTTAGAATTTTACTACAATAACCACCAAAAACCCTACTCGAATTACTAAGTCCCCCCATGTTCGCCACACTTATGGCCAGGGCACTTGTATCCCGACTTTTTGGATGTTCCCCCTTGTACGAACAGTCCTTAATCGGGACTATAGTACCCCTTATTATCATCCACATGAAGGACTGTTAGCAGAGATGGGAACATCCCAACCCTAAACCCTAAACACTAAACCCTAAACCCTAAACCCTCAACCTTTTCGGTTTTAGGGCTCCTAAACCCTCAACCCCAAATGAGGCCCAAGGGTTTAGGGTTTATTAGGGGTTTAGGGGGGTTTAGGGTTGAGGGTTTTGGGTTTAGGGATAGGCTTCGGCCCGAAGCTCGCAGTTTCTGGGTGTTGCAGGCAGGAAAGCCGCAAAAATGGACACGCCCCCTTTCGCCGGGCTTCCGTGGGCTTTTGTCCTGTAGGCTCTAGCGCCTAGTTAGGGCCCTTAAGATGGCATGTTAAACCCTAAACCCCAAACCCCAAGCCCCAAACCCCAAACCCTAAACCCTAAACCCTAAACTTGAATTCAGGAGATGGCAAGTTCGAGGGCCAGATGAAGATATAGAATGGCCAAGCCGCAAAACGTTCCAAGCTTAGGCCCGAACCCATTAGGGTTTAGGGTTTAGGGTCTAGGGTTTAGGGTTTAGGGTTTAGGGTTCTTAAACCCTCCACCCTGAAACCTTGGGATGCTCCCCCCTTATACTAGCAGTCTTTAAATAGGGATGTTCGTACTCCACCCCCTATGATAGTCGCCATGAAGGACTGCTAGTATGAGGAGGAACATCCCTAAACCCTAAACCCTAAACCCTAAACCCTAAACCCTAAACCCTAAACCCTAAACCCTAAACCCTAAACCCTAAACCCTGACCAACTGAAGGGCCACAGCCGCGGCTCAGAATCCCTAAAGTCCCCTGAGGCAGTGGTCAGGAATTGTTGGACTACCCGACCATGAGCACCATGATCCTTATGCCCCTTTGGGCTGCAGACAGTAGCCCTAAACCCTAAATCCTAAACCCTAAACCCTAAACCCTAGTGAATTCACCGGAATCTCCGATCCTCAGCCTTGGGTCACTCTTGTTTACATAAGGGGTTTGGCTTCTTGGTGTCAGGGCACCTTTGACCTCCTGAACCCTCTGAGTCAAGTCGCTGGAGTTTCACTTCGGATGGGGCTGAAGATGCGTGGATGTCTCGCCGGGCGGTGTCGGATTTCAGAGTTGCGGGTTTAGGGCTTTGCAGGCAGCCTCAGTCCGTGCTTAAAAGGGCTTTGCAGGTTGGTTTGATGAGTGGTCCAGATGACCCTGGCACTGCTAGATGCACCTGAGCCCTCAACCCCCCAAGCAGACTGTTTACTGCCCATGTGGCTCAGGATTTGGGGAGACCCCCCCCCGGCAGTTCAGAGATGTCTTGCAGCCATGGGGTGTGGGGCAGGTTGTGCTACAGTGCATCCGAGCCTTCAGCCAGAGGAGGAGCACCTAGGTGGAGTTGTCCCGACCTGCACTGACCTGATGGCAACCATGCAGCAGCAGCTGATCTCCGACGCTGCGCAGGATCGGCGTATCTTTCGGAGAAGGGCGGCCATGCGCAAAGCAGCTAGCAGCGTCCCACGGCAGGTGAGCAGCTCCGGAAGTACGGTTCCTTCGCTTCCTTCCCTGGGGCGCCGACCCCAGCATCTCGAAGATTTGCCATCCGAGCCCCTTAGGTCAGCTCCGGTGGCAGGTCGAGCGCACACCCATTGAGTTTATGGAGCTTTACCATGGCTGCCGAACCACGCCACAGAGCAAGAAGGCAGCCATTGGCGAGCTTAGCTTCAAGGAAGCACGGCCATGCGCCCCGATGCCCCGCATGATCATCACATCGGTTGCCGTGGGCAAGCATGGGCCTTGGGATTTGGGGTGAGGCTTTGAGCGATGCCTTCCGAGAGGTTGAGCTTCGCGCGACAGCCTGCATCATTTGAGAGTGGGGGGGGAGTGGGGGCCAGGTTTAGGGTTTCGGGTTCAGGGTTTAGGGTGCCGGGAAGACATTGCCGCCAGAGCAGTATGCTACAATGTCCCTCGATGCATCCGTATGTGGGCTGCTTGATTTCAGCTTTGTTCATGCCCCTGCTCGAACCGTTTGTATTTAAATATTTTTGCGATGCTTGATGCCAGCTTTTTTGCCATCAGCGTGACTTTCTTAAATATGCCAGGATCCAGGCTGTCATGGTCGAAAGATGCTGTGAACGTGTAACAGCAATAAACTAGCTGCGGGGTTTCTTGGGTACCTCTGAGTAGCTTTATAAGTACCTAAGAAAAAAGGTTAAAAAGTATAGTTGCCATACTGAGAACCCTACTTTATAATGCTGCCCCATTTTAACCTCCAAGTTGTGTGGTGCGAAAGGCAAGCCTGACATTCTGCTTTTTGGGTTCTTCAGGGAGCGGGCTTCAAGGGGGGTACTTAGGAAACCTTAGGGAAGCTTGGGGAGCCTTAGGGAGTAGTAGGGAGTATTAGGGGGCCTTGGGTTACATACCCCCCAAGAACCTCCCTTAAGAACCCTAATTGTATTCTGTTCTCGCAGCTCCTACCGTAGCACCTAGGTTGGCCAATGTCCAACCGTGCAGTTATCTTGGGCCAGGATGGGCTACTGCACCCTAGATTCCCCTGCAAAAAGGCGCCCCCTAACAGAACCCCGTAGGCCCCAGAGGTTTTTCTACTGGGGGGTTCACACGGGTACTCATAAGTAGGGTTATAGGCACCCTAAATAGGGTTAGCGGTATAGTAACCACACCTCAAACCCTACTTCTAACAACCCCTGCAACTTCAACTACTCTTCATAGGAACCCCGAAAGGTACTTTCCCAAACCCTAAACCCTAAACCCTAAACCCTAAACCCTAAACCCTAAACCCTAAACCTTTATCATACGAAACCCCCCTCCAAAGAATTATCCCTAATTTGAGGACACCCCTGTAGGGCCCATCCTGGAATTGCCACCCCAACACAGGCTCAAGCTTGCAGCCCTTCTGGTGCCCTGAGTTGGGTTTAGGGTTTAGGGTTTAGGGTTTCGGGTTTCGGGTTTCGGGTTTAGGGTTTAGGGTTTCGGGTAGTTCAGGGCCACCGAAGACATGCAGTGCACAGCGGGCCTGAAGACTGCAACTTGATGAGCCTAAGTTCATCCGGTGAGTACGGAGCATCAGTCCTCAGCTGGTCTCGCAACCTTTAGGATGTCAACTAGGGTTTAGGGTTTAGGGTTTAGGGTTTAGGGTTTAGAAAAAAGGGTTTAGGGTTTAGGGTTTAGGGTTCAGAGGTGTGAGAAGGGCTTGAAGGCCTGCGGAAGGTCTGCGGTCTCATTGGCTTCGTCGTGGGGCTGTCTGCTCCGATGAGAGACTTTGCTTCTGACTCAGGGTGTCAAAGTATGTGCCCTTGCTACGGGCCATGAGTCGGCTGGCTATACCAGTTACAAGGAGGGGCCCCCCTAGTTATAAGTAGAGTTATACAGATCCTAAATTGGGCTATCAGGATCCTAACTTTGGTTATATATCCCTTAACTATGGTTGGTATACCCCTCCTTCTACTAGAGCAGGTAACCTTTGTAACCTTTTCGGGGTCGTGCATTCCCTATATATAATCCCACAGGTTAACCTTCGTTTGTTCCCCTAGAATACTGGACAACTGACTCATGCCAAGTTTTCTACGATTTTGCTTAAGAACTCCCGAAGTAAAACAGCAATTGCCTTCCTCATAGGGATTTCTGTTTTGTTGGGGGGGGTTCTTAAGCAAAAAATGCTCAAGATCTACTATGCAATAGTAGTTTCACGACCTTGAGGCACGGCCGTCCTGGTTCTGCACCGTTCCATGAGCTGTTTGGTGCTCTGAACAAAGGTTGACCGTTGCGGTGCACTGGAGGAAGGCCCTCTAGCATGAGCTTGGGATCCTTCAGGGACGAGATGGGCCCCCAAAACGGCTTACATGGTGCCATATCCCTCAATGGAGACCCAATAAGTAGTGTAGGGTAGATGGTCCCCATGTTGCCGGGCTCATCCCATGCTTAGGGTTCATTTAGGTCCCTCAGTAGCATCCTCAAGTCCTGTTCTTTCAAAAATCAGGACGGGGGATCGCGGTCCGAATGCCGTGTGCGCCCGAACCTGTCAGGGGCGAAGCGTCCGTGGAGACGTAGGAGCCAGCGGCTTTAAAGCAAGTCTTGAAGCCTGCGCGACGGGTGGGTAAAAGGGAACAGCACCAAGAGTTTTGGTGAGCTTGCGGTTTGATTGGGGACCCAAAAGGGACACAAGCGTAAGCACTTTATAGGGATGTCCCTACCTCATTGGGCTTCATTCCAAGGGGGTTTATATGGGATATCCCTATCCTATTTTTTGGCGTAGTGGCCCTTTTTGACAGCCTGTATTCAGCAGTCGGCTTCCCCAGCCAGATTGCATCGCAGCCAAAAAACTTGGCAGCTGCGTCCAATAGCTCCAAAGATCTACCCGCACCTGCTACTTGTAGGTTCATGGGTGCCTTGCTGTTAGAAGTATGGCAACTATACTTGTGCCCCTGCTTATAACTACACACGAGCCGCTCCAAGTAGGCCCAGGTGCAATTGAGCTCGGCCATGATGTGGTTTGTCAATCTCGTCAGGGCGTGTAGGGTTTGAGTTTACCCGCTCTCCGAAACCCCAGAGAGAACCCCAAACAACCCTATTCCGCCCTAAACAACCCTATCCTTCGGGGCCAAACGAACTGAAAACTTGGGGTCAGAGACCCCATACTATTCTAATTCCATTAAGGTATGTGAACCATAAATACCCTGTTAGGGTTCAATTGCTCCCCAATACAATAGCCCTAAACCCTAAACCTTAAACCCTAAACCCTAAACCCTGAAACCCTAGACCCTAAACCCCCCAAACCCCAAAGCCCTTCAGCCCCCCAAGAAAAAGGTGGCTGGTCCTGGGCATCGGGCTGAAGTTTTTCACCTCCACCCCACTCTTTGACTCGCGCCACGCACGCTACGTGGAGGCTCCCCCGCTGGGAGGGGACTTCCCAAGGGTTTAGGGTTTTAGGGTTTATAGGGTTTAGGGTTTAGGGTTTAGGTTTAGGGTTTAGGGTTTAGGTTTGAGGGTTTAGGGTTAAGGTTTCTGAGAATTGGAAGTCTACTTATTTGTGGCCTAAGCTTGGCTTTCTGCTTCTGTTTCCCGAAAATTTCTTTATTTCTCTCAACTCTGGTCCCTTTTGGTGTCCTTACTATAAGGCAGCCTCATGTAGGGTTCCCAGGCAAAAACGATAATTTCGAGAACTGACCGGATGATGTCTGCCTTCCTTCAAGTTCCGGCAGATCGCGCAGAGCTCTAGATACACGGAAGGGCTTGGGATGATGAAAGTTCCAATCGAGAAAGCACACCGAGTGTATGAGAACTTGGGTTCCGGAATTCAACCTTCATTTTCAAGGTTCGGCTCCTCTTAGCACCATGGTTAAACCCAAAATCCTAAGCCCATGGCCCGCGCGGTCGATTTAGGTGGAGAGTTTTCAGAGGCGTCGAAAGATTTTGCAGGTTCGCCAAACCCCCCAACTCACCCCGAATCCTAGGATAGCACGCCGGAGGTCCTGACATACAAATATACCCTTGAAGCCGAAAAAACCACATAGAATAGGGCTACAAGTAGACAAACAAGACCCGTTCCTTACCCCTAAACCCTCAACCCTCAACCCTCAACCCTCAACCCTAAACCCTAAACCCTAAACCCTAAACCCTAAACCCTAAACCCTAAACCCTAAACCCTAAACCCTAAACCCTAAACCCAACCTCAAACCTTAGGCCCCAAGCCGAAGTGCGAACTCCCCCCTGGCAAAAAGCACACCAGAGGCCCGACCCAAGCGGTTGATTCTCCGGAGCCGAGAGAAGGCCTGGTGGCCCAGTGGTACCCTTTTTGTTTTAGGGTTTAGGGTTTAGGGTTTAGGGTTTAGGGTTGAGGGTTTAGGGTTTAGGGTTTAGGGTTCCCTGGTGAAGTAACCAACCCAAAAAGCGTGCCCTCATTATAAGGCTACTGGGCTACCCAGAAGGTGTCTCGGTCAATTGTTCCGGATTTGCCAGAGCCGAGGCTTCACGTAATCTCAAAAAGTTGGTTTAGGGTTTAGGGTTTAGGGTTTAAAGTTTAGGGTTCGGGGTTGGGATGATCCCCCTTATACTGGCAGTTCTTACTAGGGATGAGAGTGCCCCCTGTTAGAATCCCTATAAAGGACTGTTAGCGTAAGGGGGAACATCCCAATCAAAAAAGATGATCGACAAGAATCTTAGAGAAGTGCGGAATAATCTTAATGCCCGAGAAGCAGCTTCCAAAAGGAATCTGTCTAGCAAGTTATACGTCGGGTGAAATATGGGGTATCTATACTTATAAGCCCAACTTCTAGCTAACTACCCATGAGCCTCCAAGTATTGGGGAAAAGGCAGGGGTCTAGGAAGCTCTGCCTTACAGAGGGCTCCAAGTATACAAACAAGACTGGCTCTGGTGCCTACGCCCTAAACCCCAAACTCTAAACTTTTAAACCCTAAACCCCAAGCCCTAAACCCCAAACCCAAAACCCTAAACCCCAAACCCTAAACCCTAAACCCTTCTTTGGAATCTGCGGAGACCCTGGGACGGGCGCTGTGCCTGACAGGGGCCGGAGTACAATTTAGGATATAGGGTTTAAGGTTTCAGGTTTAGGCTATAGGCTTGGGGCTTAGGGTTTATGGTTTGGGGAGCACAATATTCCGCAATTCCCTAAAACCGAAGGCCGCTCGAGCAAGAAGGTGCCCGGAGTAAGGAAGGCATTCAACACTCAACATCTGTCACACCGTCACAAGGGGTTTTGGGGTCTATGGCTTAGGGTTTAGGGTTTTTTTGGAATCACAATATTGCATGAGCCGCACAGCGTTAGAGTTCGAAATGCCAAGGTCAGCAGCACCCTCTACCACTTGAGATTTGACTTCCCTTGGCAGAGACCCCAGAGGTGATCATGGTAGGACTGGAGAGTAGGCCCCCTAGTCCCTTTTTTTGTGTGGGGCTTAGGCTCCCATATTCAGCCCCTTTAATGCAAAAAAGGTGCACCCTGTTCTTTTTCATTTAGGGTTTAGGGCTTAGGGTTTAGGGTTTTGGGGTAAGTTACTCTTGGGTCTAGCCTCTAGTATCGGGCCTATAGTCAGGAGATCATTGTTGGTTTGGGCAAGTTCGGGGGCCAAACGAACCCTAAAAGGGTTTATGGTTCATGCACCTTAGTGGGAATTAGAGTTTTTATGGTTCATGCACCTTAGTGGGAATTAGAGTAATATCGTGTATGTGATCCCAATCTGAGGGTTCATTTGTTCCTCAAGGAGGTGGAAGGAGCCTGGGCGTTGAGGGTTTTGGCTGCAGGGGCTTGGTATGCACGACAGGCCGCCATGTTGAGTCATAGGCTTCGCTTGATGAACTAGCACCCGGAACCCCAACCCCTAAACCCTAAACCCTAAACCCTAAACCCTAAACCCTAAACCTATGGTCTGACTCGAGTTCTAGGGCTCCTGCAAAGGGCGGCGTAGAGCTCTTTTTGCGCAGACCCTGCATTGCTTGTTAGTAGCTATAGGGTTTAGGGTTTGGGGTTTTTTGGGTATGTTTTCCCTTATTGGGTTCCAGAGGCTCATATGTAGGAACATTTTTCAGAGGGTGTTTAAGGGCCACCCAAGGTTGGGAATGAGGGAGAGTTTGGTGCCCTGCTCAATCCCTTCACGGGTACATATACAGGGGGATATAGAATAAGGGGCACCCACTTCCCTCATTCCCTGCTAAGAAATATGGTAAAGATTGACTCAGTGTGCCAGCTGCTGTATGGTGCGAGGCGGCTAGGCAGGTGGCCCGAACCAAGCCTTAAACCCAAGACCAACTTACAAAGCGGAGGTCTTCGAGCTCGCGTGGGGTCTTATTTTTTGTGCCACATGTTTGGGTTTCGTGATGTTGTGTACAAGGGCATGGGAGGAATCCTGAATTACGCCTTGCACGTTGAAAACTCCCGGTTGGTTTGTTTATTGCCTGGCCGATATCCCTGCAGCGCAGTGCCTCTAGCTTTTGCGGGAGCGAAGAAATCCAGAATCAACCCGAACCCGAAACCCTAAACCCTAGCCTTAAACCCTGAACCCAAACCCTGAACCCACAATGAACCAAAGAGCTCCAGGTTCTTCCGCTGGCAGGGCTACAGCAGTGGGCTGCAGCCCGGACAGCACGTGAAGCTGCTGTGCAAAAATGCCTCGCAGGCCTGTAGGGGTTGGGGTTTGGGGTTTAGGGTTTGGGGTTTGGGTTTGTGGTTTAGGGTTTAGACTGATGGGAGTCCGAAACCCTAAGCCCTACTTATTGAACCCTAAGCTTGGTTTAGGAGTTTAGGGCACCTTACCTGAAAGCCTAACACCATAAACCCTCCTAAACCCCAAAACCCAAAAGCAGAAGCCCAACCCCACTTATATCTCTCCATGAACCGCCAAGTTGGGCTCTGAGAGTTTTAGGCTTGTAGGGTTTAGGGTTTAGGGGTTTAGGGGTTTAGGGTTTGGGTTTAGGATTGCGGCTTTTGGGTTTTGTTTTTAGGGTTTAGACTTCAGGGTTTTGGGGCTTTTGGATTTGGGTTTTCGTAGTTTCAGGGTCTATGGGCCTCAGGGAGTGCGACTCGGAACCCAAAACCCCTAAACCCTAAACCCTAAATGCAGCCAACGGGCGTAAGCACAGATGCGGTGCAGGCTTGGATGACACCCAGCCCAAAGGCCCCCCTCAGAACCTAAGGCCTTGCGTGTTGCTGGTGCTGAGTAGGGAAGCTTTATCCTTTACGGTTTTGGGGTTTAGGGTTTGGGGATTAGGGTTTAGGGTTTAGGGCTTAGGGCTTAGGGCTTAGGGTTTAGGGTTTAGGTCCCATTCAAACCAGCCACTACAGGTTCAAGCCTTGAGTCTCGCTCGGCAAGCCTGAAGCCTAGGGTCTTCAAGGGTTTAGGGTTGAGGGTTTAGGGTTTAGGCTTTAGGATTTAGGGTTTAGGGTGAGAGAGAGAGGGTTTAGGGTCCTAAGTGTTTAGGGTTTAGGGTTTAGGGTCCTAAGGGTTTCGGGTTTTAGGGCCTTGAGGGTTAAGGGTTTAGGCTTTTCGGCTCATGGGGTTTTAGGGTTCAGGGTCTGAGGCCTCTTCAGGGAATATGGACGAACGAGGTTTACGGCGTTCGTGCACTTAGACGAGCTGGGGTCTAGGGTTTAGGGTTTAGGGTTTAGGGTTTAGGGTTTAGGGTTTCCAGAGCAACTCAACGACCCACCTCGTAGGCCCTTGCAAGCGAACTGAGCAGATCCCATGCCCCAAGGCCTCAGAGAGGCATAGCTTTGCAGCTCCGCGCAGTCGTCGACCAACGAATGAGTTAAAAGTAATTCCCAAGCCCTAAGCCCTGATCACAAACCCGACACAAGAAGCCCCAAACCCGCGATTTCCCCCTAAAACCTACCTAAAACCTAAAACCTAAACCTAAACCCCCCCCCCCCCCCCCCCCCCCGGTGCAGGGCCTGAAGCTCTGGAATGGCCATGGCAACTTAGAGGTCGGCTGTCTTGCACTCCTTTGGTTCCCAAACCCTAAACCCTAAACCCTAAGCCCTTGTCAAAACCCCAAACAAACTAAACACTAAACATTAAGCCCTAAACCCTAAACCCTAAACCCTAAAACCTAAACCCTAAACACTAAACCCTAAACCCTAAACCCCGACTGTCGGGGCTTTGGACCGAGATGAAAGTCAGGGGCCTCGGCGAGGGCTATGGGCTTTGAGTTTGGCCTTAGATGTTCAGGGTTTAGGATTTAGGATTTAGGGTTTAGGGTTTAGGGTTTAGGATTTAGGGTTTAGGGTTTAGGGTTTCGGAGTCTGGGTCCAAGAAAGGGTTCAGGGTTTAGGGTTGCAAAAAAAGGCTAGGACCCGGAGTAGGGCCTGATTTCCTTTTTTTAGGGTTGGGGTTCCCTTCTAATCCCCTTAAAGCCAAGAAAGGAACCCTGTTTTATTCCTAAGTTACTTCCGGGTCTGGTATATGCTAGCACCCTTGCAGACACACAGCCTAAGACGGAGCCCTCTATAAACCCTAACACCCCCACCGAACCCCAAATCCCTCTACATTCATTCAACCCTAACGGCCCTTCTGAACTCCAAAATCCTTGCCCGCACACAACCGACGAAGCTCTACAGTACGAAACCCTCCTGGACTCTCAAAGCAAGTGGGTTCCCTGTAGAGAACATCAACCAGACTCCCTAATTCCCCTTCCAAGAACTAGTGAAGCGCTTGTGTTCCCCAGTTCCCAAACCCTTCAGCTCGCCCGCGTCTCAGATGTCCGTGGAGCACCTCAGTAGATCTTACACACCCATCAACTCCTCCAAGGACAGGGCAGTGCTGCCCCTAAACCCTAAATTTGTACCTTGTACCCTGTAAACCCTAAACCCTATAAATCTAAACCCAAACGTGCGGGGTTGTTTCAGTCTTGAGGGCTCCGAGATTCAGGGTGAAGGACAAGTGTATGTTGGGGTAACCGTGTGACGCTTCATGTGAGGTTTCATGCATATCTAGCTGTTCAAATTCCACCAGCGCCACGTCCCTAAACCCTAATCCCTAAACCCCAAACCCTAAACCCTAAACCTATTCAGCTTGCAACTTGTGTATATGCGTCCATGCGATGCTGTGCAAGGGCGCTCAGCGGTTCAATTTACCGCGAAAGCCCCGAGCATGATCCCAGGAAACCTGTGTTCTTGTAGTTGAAGCCGGAACCAATTTCCCCCCCAGAAAACAGGGCCCCTCTAGTTTTTGAAGTAGGGTTATAGGAGCCCTACATTGGGAACTATAGTGAGTATATAGTTAAGTCCCTAAACCCTAAACCCTAAACCCTCAACCCTAAACCCTAAACCTAAACCCTGAACCCTAGAACCCAAAATGTAGGCTGCATCATCAGCTCAGGTGGTCTTTTTGTTTCATCTCACGGTCGGCGTTTGACGTACGTTTTGTCGCTGGTTGCTTTGCGGCCGTCGAGCTGCTGGTGTGCAACGCCCTAAACCGTAAACCCTAAACCCTAAACCCTAGACCTTATAAACCCTAAACCCTAAACCACAAACCCCAAACCGGGGTTTATAAACCCCAACCCCAAACTCTAAACCCTGCATTCGCTGCAGGAGCCAACGGTGGACTTCATTGCGTCTTGGCAAAAGAATCCCCAATATAGGAGTTATTATTAATCATATTCCCTTGTAGTCACTGTATACTTTGCACGATAATTACCCCCAAAAACCCTATTCGAATTATTACAATGTGATGCCCTTCAGTTATAACTTAGTAAGCCCAGATACAAGTAAGTTGTATCTTAGTTAGGGAAGTTAGCCTCAAAAGTATACTAAAACAAACCTGGCCTTGTTAGGCGACATAAGTACAAAAACCGCGGCATTAATGAGAGAGATATGTTTATCTATATGTTTTGGATGTTTTTACATAGATGTATAATTGACACATAGTGTTTCGTATATATATATATACTTATCTTCTTCGGTATGTATCTTCTGGTGGATTGGGCTTCCCTGCCTGAAAAAAAAAGTATCGACACGTTCTTTTTGTGGGTACTTTTTTTCTGGGTATTCTCTTGTGGTCCCTTTGTGGTCCCCTTGTGGTCCGGGTAGGCCGTTTTTGCTTGTGGCACGGGTCGGTTTCGTGGGATGTCTCGAGGATTTGCTTGTGGTACGCTTGTGGTCCCCTTGTGGTGTGGTCCGGTCGACCTACCCTTGCAGCTGGCCCAAAAGGAAGTGTCGACCTTCGCTTTGCGCTGCTCCACGCCATGGGCACACATAGTCTGTATAACTTGCTCATACTTGCTCGGTATTCAGCTCCAAACATACCAAAAGACCTGTATCATATTTCTTTACGTGACATGTTTCTAACAAAGACATGTGGTTTCCACGCTACTCCAGCCCTTTCTTAAAAAGTATATGAAACATAGCCCTCGACCTCCATGTGACTGAAACCTTACAAAATACAGCAGTTTTTAGTTATCCAAGTTAGCTAACTGGCATGACTTAGTTATAACTGATACCGTCCAGTTCTCGAAGTTGCGCGATTTATAACTCTGACAACATAGCTTATAAATGATGTGATAAGTTATGTTGCACAAGATATAGCATGAGCTGTAACTAGAGGGCATCACATTGTAAGGCTCCTACATTAACCTCTTACAGGCGCTGCCAAAACGACAAAAAGGGCTCTTTTGCAAGCAGGCCCAAGATGCACCTTCATGAACCCTAAACCCTGAAGCCTACACCCTACACCTATTCATTGTAATACGCTCCGCTCGATACTTACCACCAAGGTGAGCCCTGTAATAAAGTCGTTGTAGCACGAGCTTCCCAGAATCACCCATGCTGCTTAAACAAACCTATTCTTAAAACAGGCCCCAATGGTATGAGATTGTCATGGCTTGGCTCGGGGTTAGTGGAGCAAAATCGGGTTGGGGTTTAAGGTTTAGGGTTTGGGGTTTAGGGTTTAGGGATGCAAACTGGACCCAGCACCCGGTTGACACCAAAGACAAAGACCCACGGAGGCCTAGCAAGCTCCCGAACTCCCACACTAGGTTCAAAGCTCCAAGAACTCCGACTTTAAGGTTTAGGGTTTAGGGTTTAGGGTTTAGGGTTTAGGGAGGGCAAAAGCCCGAAGAGACCCCCCCCCCCCCCATGAGGTCAAGTACTACCCCTCCGACTCCAGCGCTGGATTTGCGGACGGCGGACGCGCGAGCAAGCTCCTGTGCGAAGAGCTTAAAGAAGGTTCCCCGGCTGCATCAGCTAAGTAGGGGATGTTTAGGGTTTAGGGTTCAGGGTTCAGGGTTCAGGGCCCGCAGGGATACTTGGGAAGAATTCGTCTGCTTTTGTGCCTAAGAAGCAGCTCAAGTTGTAATGTTTGCTAGGGTTCCAAGTTCAGTATAGATAAGACCTCCCAAGCTGCTCGGGCAAGGCAGGCAAAAAGCCCGAGCTGAGACGGAGCCCTGAAATTCGCCAAGGGCATGGCCAATCTTAACGACTTGGCCAATTGCCAAGGCTCCTAGCCTGTGTCAACTAACCAACCAAAAGCCATCAACCCAGCGTATTCAGCCAAACGCCTGCCCGAACTAGGGTAACCCTAAACCCTAAACCCTAAACCCTAAACCCTGAACCCTAAAACATAAAACTTAAACCCTGAACCCTGAACCCTAAACCGCAACCCTTGGGAACTGGAAACCCGAAGGTGACGAGGTGTGGCTCTCGGGCCCCCATGGTGGCAAAGTCTACCGCGGCAACGGCAACTTCCTGGTGGGGACCTTTAGACTTTTGATGGCCCAGTTTGGAGGTTTAGGGTTTAGGGTTTAGGGTTTAGGGTTTAGGGTTTAGGGTTTAGGGTTTAGGGTTTAGGGTTTAGGGTTTAGGGTTTCCGCAGACTCTGCCGTCGCATAAGGTTTAAGGGGTTTTGGGTTTAGGGTTTAGGGTTTAGGGTTTGGGCGGTTTCCTCGAGTTCCTCACGTCCTGACCCCTTGATGCAGGTGGATGGGCGAGTCATAAAGGCCGACAGCATTTGTGCCCCTTGGACGTGATCCTAAGTGCTTGCTCTGAGGGGAGTGGTCACTTGTTTCAGGCGTGCTGTTTGAGACCGGACTGTCAGGAAACTCCCCTTCGATAGATGAGGGTTGCTGCGTGACGCTTCGGATTGCTGCCTCACCGAACAATCACACCGGTGCAACGGAGTCGTCCCAATGATAGCTCTGGGCAAGCCGTTCTTTCAAGCCGACTTCACATATTTTCAGGTGACAGTTCTGGTGCTCAGGTGGGCACTTCATTGAACACAAACCCAAAGGATCCATGTACCTATATAGTATATACTTGGGCCCTAAAGCTACTATATAGGAACCCCTTTAAGGCCTAAGTATATACTATATAGGTACATGGATCCTTAGGGAAAGTAATCAGGCCTCTAAGGGGGAGCGCGGTCACAGCTCATTTAAGCCCAATTCCTTTCTCTCCCCCCTTTCTTGGGAGTCGGGGGCAGTAAGCTGGCAACTGGTCTTTCAAGAGGACCTTCTCTAAGCTTTAAGCCCTAAACGAAGAACCCACATGTGGGGCATACATGTTGAAAAAGAAGAAGATTTCGAGGAGGGGCTCCTCCCCTCAGCATTTTCACCAAAACCTTTAGGGTTTAGGGTTTAGGGTTTAGGGTTTAGGGTTTAGGGTTTAGGGTTTAGGGTTTAGGGTTCCTACACCCCAAGCCTTCCCAAGCCATGTTCAGGCGTTGGCTGGCGGCTCCGGCATCACCCCTGTATTGTCCTTGCTCCGTCAGTGCAGAGAAGAGTGCCGGGCAAGCTGCTTGCCACCACGTCTTCTCAAGTGGGATGGGCTTAGGGTTTAAGAGGTAAAAAGGTACCCTAATCCTTCACAGCCAGGCAAGAATGAATGCCCACACGCTAAACCCTAGAATCCATTTGGGCCAGAAGCCGCTGCCTAAGAAGATTTCTGGTCAGGTGCATCGACAAGTCTAAGACGTAGCGGGTTTAGGGTTTTGGGGGCCTTCCCCGAAAAGGTGTTCTGCTGGCTTTAGTGGCACGTGAATGTCGGTTTTCCCCACTAATTGCCCTGCAGTGCATCAGATTGTGTCCAGCTAGGCGGATGGCAAAAAAATGCCTGTATTTGGGTTTCAGGGTTTAGGGTTTCTTGGGTGCAGGTTTTATAGGGCTCAACGATTAAAAGGTTCAGGGCGAATTGGGCTTCGGGTTTTTGAGGTTCAAGGTCTCGGGCTTTGGGAGCCCACAACCCTGGCAATTCCGATTTGCCCGCAAAGGTTACAAGAATCCTGCTGCGCAGCAGGATCTCGTCAAGGACCGTTTAACCGCAAGTTCGGGGTCAGCTCCGCCCTTTGGGACTTGAGGGCGTGTCGTGTACCTTAAGCCCTCGACCCTAAACCCTGAACCCTGAACCCTAAACCCTTTCAGGCTAGGGTGTGCAGGGGAACCTTGGTATGTGGATTTCACACACCTTTCCGAGCCTGACAGAGGTCATCTTCTGACGTGTTTAGGGTTTACAGGGTTTGTGGGTAGGTTTTATAGTTTATGGAGGTTATATAGTTCATAGGGGTTATAGGGTTTACGGGGTTTTAGGGCTCTAGGGCTTAGGGTTTCGAGGTTAAAACACTAGTGGGTCAAGGGTTCGGGTTTGGGGTGAAAAGGTCCTAGTTTGGGTGTCCTGGTTTTGCTTACGGGGGGAGGCGGGGGGGTATACTCTTAAAATAACCTGCAAGAAGAAAGCTCAAACTTCTAGGCTTCTTTCAGTGTAGTGCAGGTCAGAATGTGCGTCTTGTACTTCCTTGGGTTGGAGGGAAGTAACTCTAAACCCTAAGCCCTAAACCGGTTTTAGGGTTTAGGGTATAGGGTTTAGGGTTTAGGGTTTAGGGTGAAAGAGCAGGAATTCTCGGTGATCCATGCGATGAGATCCGATGATGAGAGGCCCCTCGCCGGGGTGGTGTCTGACTGGTGGGGAGTTAGAACACCCAAGCCAGCTGCTAGCTACGAAGCCCAACAAGTCTGTAGGCTAATAACCCCTATCCCCTAACCCTAAACCCTTGTACATCTATGTGCAAGGAAGAAGCCCCAACAATCGGTAGGCCATAGACGACTGGAGGTGGACGTCCCTTCACTGATTTCAAGCAGCAAGCCAAAGCCGAACCCTGCAAACGCCGGGGAATAAATTACCGAACCCTACAGGTCTATGATTCATAAAGCCCGAATACGCATGACAGTGGCATATGGTATAGATGCTCCCAGTTTTAGGCGTCATTTGGCCCCTAAGGAACAGCAACGCCCGGCCGCCCGAAACCCGAAATCTCAGCTGAAAAGCCCCAACGGCAAGTCCCAACCGTAAACCCTAAGCCCTATAAAAGAAGACCTATAGTCCCATTCAAGCCGCAAAACCCCAAGTCCCAACCCTAAGCCCTCTAAAAAGAAGCCCTACAGCCCCATTCAAGGGAACCCAGAAGCCCTAAACCCTGAGCCCTGATCCCGAAACCCTATAACAGAAGCCCTAAACCCTAAACCCGAAACCCTAAACCCTAAACCCTAAACCCTAAACCCTAAACCCTAAACCCTAAACCCATTCAAGGCTCAGCCCCATGTGGTACACGCCCATCACAGAGCTGGGCTTGGCACCCCGCTGCACTGCAACACATCGGCATCCCAGCCCTTACAATGTCCAAGGTTTAGGGTTTAGGGTTTAGGGTTTATAGGGTTTAGGGTTTAGGGTTTAGGGTTTAGGGTTTAGGGTTTAGGGTTTAGGGTTTAGGGTTTAGGGTTTAGGGTTTAGGGGCTGTTGCGAACAGGCTTAGACGCTCAACGCCCTTTCTCGAGTGACTCAACCTCTCCACGTCCTTCCGAACCGAAACGTGCCTATCCACCCCAGCACCCAGAACGAAGCCCATACTGTAGCTGGACGGGCTCGGTTTCTTGAGCTTGAGTGACCCTAACCCTAAGCCCTAAACCCTAAGCCCCTAAAGCCCTAAACATTAAACTCACCCTGGGCCCTGCCACTGTCATCTCAGGTCACGAGCCTCGCGACTAAGGAGGATCCGGCACTTAAGCGTCAGACCTCGACACCTCGAGAAGGCTTCGGTTTGGGCGCTTAGGGATAAGGGTCTAGGGTCTAGGGTTTAGGGTTTAGGGTTTAGGAGGCCTTTTCCTGGTATGGCTCAGGAGGAGGAGTGAAGGAACAGTGGAGGGCTCGCACGGCGGGAACATGTTTAAGGTGAGTCCCACGTTCACTGCCATCGTTGGATTTTATTGCAATGTCGGTCCATCAGAATCTGTCAGGTCAAGAAGTTGAGAGAATCATGATCTTGGCTTGTTCTGTTCTGATTGGGCTATTCTGGGTCACGACGAAGGTGCGCTTCTCACAATCAGCAGTTTCACTTGGGCTTGCGGTTCTTCACTTGGTCTTGCCTAAAACGGCTTGTAGTTCATGTACCTCAAAAGGAATTATTATGGTAAAGCCAACAAACACCCCTTCACTCAAAATTCAGACATCAAACTTGACAATAGGGTATATGACCCCAAGTTTGGGGTTTATTTGGTCCTCCAGTAGGTTCAGGCGTAGGGCCACAGGGAGTCTCGCGCAGGCATGCTGGCGCGCTACGGCAAGCTGTCGACGAGCGTTGTGGAGGCAAGTTCCATTTACAGTACAACCCTAAACCCTATAGAAATCCCAAACCCTAAACCCTAGACCCTAAACCCTAAACCCTAAGCCCTAAACCCTAAACCCTCAACCCTAAGCCCTAAACCCTAAACCCTACCCCCAGAACCCCATGCAAGGAGATCTTCCCGGCTCCCAGTGAGAATGTCGTCGTGGTCATTTGCGGGCCGAAGGGCTTCGTGGATGAGGCTTGCTTACCCCTCCTGCGCGAGATGAACTACACCAACGACGCTTTCCTGTTCAATAGTGGACATAGGACCCCCGGATCTAGCCGTTTCCTGTTCAAGAATGGAATATACATAGGACCCCCAGAACTAGCCTTAATTGTCCCGTGTAAAGTCGGAGGTAGATTCTCTTATGAAAGCCGTTAACCCAATCGTACTTCAGGAGTTCACTCTCGGTAGGGAAACACACCTCGCAGACCCAGCTTTGCACTTGTAAGATACAAGCCCCCGAGAAAACTATGCTGCACAACCCAGGTCATCACCATGTGGTGAAGAATGGTGAAGACCTTTCTCAACCGGCCCACGTGGTACCAGCTGGCTCGTCCCTGCGCACAGTTGTCGCGAGGCGCACCGCGAGGAAGCCCATCGGGCGCCTTTGTCATGGGCTTCCTCGCAGTGCAACGCGCGTCTTTTCACAACCCCCTACCCCCCGGCCGTAACCTTGAAGCCTGAAGGCCATACACCTATAGCCCTAAACGCTGATCCCTTCTTTTGGTGGGAACCCCCTGCGCCTTACAGCGCGAGGTCTCCGAAGCTGAAAACCGACTAAATCAGTGCGCAAGCCATGCCGGAAGTTCATTCCCAGAGGGCCTCTGGTTACCGGGTTTAGGGTTTAGGGTTTAGGGTTTAGGGTTTAGGGTTTAGGGTTTCGGGTTTCGGGTTTAGGGGGGATTTCTCTTCTTAAGGGTAGTTTCATGGTCCGTTTATATGGTCCCTTACCGTCTTTCATAGGTTCTGATGTATAGGCCCTTGGGTTGTATAGTGTATATAAGGGTACACATTGCCCTTTTCAGGGCCCATATCCTGGGACCCTGTAACTACCCTCAGATCTTCTCTGCGCTGCGGTAAGCCGCGTGCTGGCACCCTTCCTGCCCGTAACCAAGCTCGTCTTGAAAGAGGGGCCCCTATATACAACACAGGATCTGAACTCGACAATACGAACCAAAATCCCACATTTTGGGCATGTCGCCTAAGATACAACGAAGTATGCTTGGGGTTGTTATGGACTAGTCACTTGCGAGGTTTGTTATCTCCAGTTTAGCAGATTAGCTTCGGAGATAAGAAGGGTTTGTGAACACGCAAGCATTGGGTGCAGGCTACTGCGGGAGAGGGGAGGGAGAGAGCACTATGCTGACATCACATGAGTTTCTTTCAGGATCGGAGGCCTCCATATGTTTTCGCCGTGGCCACGTGCATAACGGATAGACGCTTGATGCAGCGCCGATTTAAAAAAAAAAAAAAACGAGACGGATTGAACTGAGCAATCAAGGCTTCCTGCGGCACCCTGAGCAGATGCACCGGAAATGACGGCATAAATGTTGCGAGAATTGACAGCGGGTGTAAACTAAACCCTTAACCCGAAACCCTAAACCCACTGCCGGCCTTGTGCGAGTGTGAGAGTCGAAACCCAATGTTTCAGTTTAGAAGTGAATGCAGTTGTTCGCTCGAAGCCTCGCGGTGGCTCTTGCCAGAAAGGGTGACAGGAGTATTTTGTGCTCACCCACGCATCCTGTTGTATGCGAATAGGCTACCCTTCGTAGTTCGGATATTTCCCCCCGTTATACTAGAACAGTCCTTAATAGGGATTATAGTACCCCCGATTATAGCCCCTATTTAGGACTGCTAGTACAAGGGCGAACATCCCAAAGGCTACCCTTGGCAGTCCTGGCTCCTCATTTGCTGCGCACGCTTCTGCGGCCGAGCGAGCACGAGTCTGAAGCGCCCTCAAGATCAAGCTCAACTCACCCGAAGAAGACCACGCTGGGCCCCGCCCTACAATAACATAATGAGGTACAGTACTATACTAACATAGTAATATATAGATATAAACAATCAATAAATCAGTAAATGCATATATATATATATGTATAATACACTCGTAGTATGATATAAGGCTCAAGAAAAACTTAGTCCCTCCAGACTCCGACTCACATCCTCAACCCCGGACATCTCCGAATGAGGCGTTGACAGTTGCGGCCGGCTCACAGGTGCAGGGCGCGATGAAGAAGCTTACGCGCGGATCCCCGGGAGAATGAAAGGTTTAGGGGTTAGGGTTTTGGGTTTAGAGTGTACTGTAGGGTTTAGGGTTTAGGGTTTAGGGTTTAGAGTTTAGGGTTTAGGGTTTAGGGTTATTGGCTCATCATGGGTGTTGGCTCATCCTGGGTGTAGTGAAGCGAGCTCCCGTTGCACCCCAGCCTCCAAAGCCCGAATCCCCCAAACGCTGGAGCCTTCTTTCAATCCGCTGAACCCTAGGCTTTGGGATGTTCCCCCTTATACTGACAGTCCTTAATAGGGATTATATTGGGGGGGGGGTACGATCATCCCTTTGAAGGACTGGTAGTATAAGAGGGAGCATCCCAACCTAGGCCACGAGATCTCTCCAACATAGTGCAAGCTGCTGCCAAAGTCGGACGGGCGTGGGGGCCAAGAAGTTTACTTGAAGGTTCTCAGAATACTTCTTAGTACGGATCAGGTAAGGCTAAAATCCGCCATAGTTGTCCTACTTTCAGCCCCAGAACAATAAGTACCCATAGACCTCCCGGAGTTTAGGCTTGCACTCTGGTGTCCAGAGTGTATAAGCCCCTAAACCCTAAACCCTAAAGGCGCTCTATCCCTATACATGTTAATATGCGTACTGAAGGCCCCTATGATGTGCCTGGCTCAGCGCAAGCTGACCGCCCAGTTCAGGATTTTCGTGGTCAGGTGCCAGGGCTAGAGGGCTCTGAGGTTCAGGGCTTAGTTTTAGGGTTTAGGGTTTAGTGTCCAGGATCTAGAGTTGGAGGGCTTTGGGGTTTGTTGAGGGTTCAGGGGTAATGGTCAAGGTTCTAAGATTTCGGGTGCAGGCCTTCACGTGTAGGTTTTGGTGCGATGTGATACGAACAGACGAGAACTTGCCAGCAGGTGCTAGAAGTTCGGGGTCGTCTCTGGGTACTTCAACTGTCCGAGGTGGAGCAGAACTTCACGCAGGATGTTGGGCTCCAGGCCACCGGCACCAATGATCCATATATTGGCCATGGGCAGAGCGTTGTGCGTAGGCATACAACTATGCATGTATGCAGGTTTCTCTTTTGTTTTTTGAATGTAGTTGCGTCAACGCAGGCGTATGTATAGAAAGTATACAGTATCTCTATACAAGTATAAAAGTGTAGAAGTCTCTAAGGATACAAGCATACGTAAGTACATTTGTAAGGAGTACATAAACGAGGTACGTACAGCAATGCATACAAAGAGAGGGACGGACATACAGATATGTGTATATATATATATATATATATATATATTTCTATTTATTTATAGATATTACGTATATACATAGGCCTCCAAACATGTGCATGAGCTTTGCGAGTGTGCCTGTTTCGCCTTTGCCTCCACACCCCCCGGCAGTCTTGTTGAGTTCTCCTGGGGGGGGCTAACATCTAACCTGAAAGCCTGATGCCCTCAAAAACCCTAAGCGCCCCCCCCCCCCCCAACAAAAAAAACATATATATATATATATAATAATAACAATAATAACAATAATAATATCAGAAAAACACATTAGATAAAATAAAACAAATAAAACAATTTTTTATGGTATATTATATAGTATATATTGTATATTGTATATTTTATATTGTATATTATATATTTTTTATTTTATGTATTAAAAAGTATATATTATAAACTATATTTTATATAGTTTATTTTGTATACTATATATTATGTATTGTATATTATATATTATACATTATATCATATCATATAGACATATATATATATGTGCTATATATCTATATACATAATAAAGCTGTGGGATCCCAGGTGATGCGGCGCACCTTTGAGCACAGCTGCTGCCTGAGGTTCATTTGGTTGGAGCTGGGCGGGACACATCGTCACGGGCCGCCGGGGCGGGGGGGGCGGGGGTGGGGGGGTGCGGGGGCGGAAGGGGGAGGGGGCGGGGGGGGGGGGGGGGGGGGGGGGGGGGGGGGGGGGGGGGGGGGGGAACATTTTTGGGCCCGAGGCTTCTAGAAATCATCAAAGCACTGTTGAGCAGCCTCTTGTCATACAGCACGCTTGTCAGATTCTTATGTTGCGCTCAACAGTAGCCTTGGGGGTTCTTTCCGCAGAGACAATGGGTTTTTCCGGGCTTAGGGTGCTTTCACTCTGAACTCTAAGGTGTGGGCTTGCACGCTTGTTGTTATACAAAATTTATAGTTCAGAGGCTCTCACCAAAGTTTCGAACCCCTGAGCCCTGAACGTAAGAACCCTAAACCCCAAACCCTAAACCCTAAACCCCAAACCCTAAACCGTGAAGCCCAGGCGCACCACAGCTTGTCAACACGGCCTGGAGGCCTGCAACGCTGCAGCTGAAGAGTTCGCCGGCGACCCAGTGGTGTTCGTAGGAAAGGCTGTGGTCTGGTTTAGGGCTTAGGGCTTATAGGGCTTAGGAATTAGGGTTTAGGGTTTAGGATTCAGGGTTCTAGTCTGTAGACAGTTTTGCCCTAGGGGTTCAGGTTGAATGCTGAGGCGCCGAGCTTGATAGACTCCTGCAGGTCATGGGTTGCATGAGTACTTGCCCCGATTTCCCAATGCTGGGAACCTTGGGCAACCCAAGCAATTGTTGTGGGATTAGGGTTTTGGGGTTTAGCTTAGTGTTTAGGGTTTAGGGTTTAGGGTTTAGAGCGCCTGTTCGGGCCTGTTGAGCATAAGCGCAGGCAGCCGCCAGCATGATACTCGGTAATGTTGAGTTGCCGCCTTTTCCCCTGCTACATCTGATGCAACCCATCCCTGAACCAAGCCTGCTACCTAAACCCTAAACCCTAAACCCTAAACCCTAAACCCTAAACCCTAAACCCTAAACCCTAAACCCTATACCGCCTAGAGGCGTAAGGGTGCAGTTAGTCACTTCCGATGTCTTTGCCACAAGAGAGCCAGGTTCCCCCACCTTCTCGTCCCACTCGTCACAAAAGACAGTGCGCAAGTGCAGGAACCTCTCCGTGCAAAAAGATGGTGGTGACAATGGCGATGACGACGGACAATGATGATGATGCTAGTGAACCCTTGAACCCAAAGACCCTAAACCCCAAACCCTAAACCCTAAACCCTAAACCTTAATGCCCTAAACCCTAAACCCTAAACCCTAAACCCTAAACCCTAAACCCCAAACCCTAAACCCTAAACCCTAAAACCCTAAAACCCTAAACCCTAAACCCTAAACCCTAAACCGGCAGCGAAAGGCATCCAACGGACACGCCGCCCGCCTCAGTGGCAGAGATGGCAGCAGAGCTGCGACC